GACTGAGGAGGTCGAGAGCAGTCTGGGCGGAAGCTGGGACACGAGAATTACTACGGCGACCTAACCAGTCAAGGGACGGTGGTGGCTCATACGCCATAGGAGTGACTAGGAAGGGGGTGTCGAACAGTCTTCGGCGAACATCGGCTATCTCAGTAAGGCTTCGGCGAGAGACGGCCGCTAACCTTGTCCTTGCTTCGTCGTCCAGAGCCCCAGTGTTGACTACATCTACTAACGCCGCAGTAAGATTGTTTAAAGCGTTAGCTTGACGAGAAGAGAAGTCAAGCAGGAGAGATGTATCATTTCGGGCGGCCTCAAGCTGAGTAGTGAGACCGAGGACGAGGGAACGATAAGTGGCGAATTCCTTTTCGTCCTCAGGAATACGGACGTCCAGGGAGATACGAGGGTGGACGAGGGACAACCGGGGAGCAGAGGGACCAGCACGCTGAGTATCTTCATTTTCCACATCACCATCATTGAAGGCAACCTCCTTCTCTTTAGATTTCCCTTTTGATTTCTTTAAAGAAGACTTCGGTGTCTTCTGGGAAGCAGAGGGAGGGGTGACGGGAGGGGCCGCCGAAGCGGCCGGAGGAACGGAAGGACGCCGACTTCGGGTGCTGTGAGCCGGAGGAGAAGCTACCACTGGAGAGGACGGGCGTGGCGCCGAAGGACGAGAGGCCGAAGGACGGGAGGCCGAAGGAGCAGAGGCCGAAGGACGGCGAGAAGACGAAGGAGGAACAGCCGGGAGACGTGATGGGCCGGCCACAGGAGCGAAGGGCGACGGCGACGGAGGCGACGGGCGGAGGTCCGGCGAAGTACGGCGAACCGACCGGAGAGACGAAGACGGTACCCGCGAACGGGGGACAGACGCTGGAGTCTGGGGAGGGGGGAGAGGAGAAGCGTCGAAGGGACGGGGCGGGATGTCCCGGGCAGAGGAAACGGGACAGAAGGAGCAGGGGCCAGACGTGCATGAAGCACAACGGAGGGCCTTGTTGTGTGGCCTGACTGCCTTGAGGCAGGGCCAGTTTGGACGATTATACGTGATAATCTCACGTCTACTAATTAGCAAGAGTAACTTCGGCGTAGTACGAATAGGTGGACTCACCGGCAACGATCACACGCTTCGTCAACACCAACCGCGATCCAACGACCAGGCTCGGACTTCATCTTCTCCCACAAGTACTCTTCTTCCCGCAGTGATCTCTTCACCCGTTTGGGCGAAGGCTCCCCTCTGGGAGAAGGGGGGGGAACAGCGACGGGGGGGGCGGCAGCAGGACCGGCAGCAGGACCGGCGGCGGCGGCGGCGGCGGCAGAGCGGGCGGCGGCAGCAGCGGCGATGGCGTTGGGGGGGGGGAGAACCCCGGAAGAGGAAGAAGGAAGAAGAGGAAGAAGAAGAAGAGGAAGAAGAAGAAGAGGAGAGGGAACGGCGTCGTTTCTGGCCCACAATTTGAGCAGGGAGAGGGGCAGGAGCGGCTGCGAGTTAGCAATGTCTTGGAGAGCTAAAGAACAGATAAACAAGGCCAAGTTCGGCGAAGGTATAGGAGGTTGGGCGAAGAACTCACACTCAGGACTATCAACATTGTTATCCTCTACACTAACCGCCACCATATCATCATCTGAGATATCTTCTAACTCAGTTTCACCCTCACGATCCTGATCCTCCTCATCACTATAATCACCCCCCTTTCCTTCGAAGTCTGACTGATCGTCCGACTCCGAACCACTGAGCGACTCCTGGTCGGAGGAGGACGGAGACTCACCAGGACGAAAGGCGGGCGTCCTGCGGCGAGGGCTGGCGGCAGGAGGAGAAGCGGAGGGAGAACGGGCGGGAGAACCGGCAGGAGGACTGGCGGGAGGAGAAGCAGAGCGAGGAGGCGAGGCGGCGCCAGACGGTTCCCCCAGGGAAAGAGTGCCGAGGCCAAGAGAGGAAACTTGGCGAGACCTATCACCGAAGGAAACTGAACGTCAGCCAAGTGCGGCGAAGTGCGGTAGGTACAGGGGAAAGACTCACGAGCAGACGACACCACACCACCAAAGTTCCTCATGGCGGCGAAAGGGTTAGAGGTGGGAGTAGGAGGGGCCATGACGTTTAAAATACTTAAAGAAATAAAAGATGATACGTCGAGGTAACAAATCCGTTTTCTAAGCGCGAGAGATAGAAAGTTTTGAAAACAGATGGGGAAGAGAGAGAAGGACGATGAACTGCTCAGTACTTAGTATAACTCGAGTTACCCCTCCGTCGTCAACATGCGGCATCCTTCGCGTTTCATCAACAAAAGGCATCGCAGGGACGATCAAAATTCCCACGCTATAGTGTCTCATCTCAATATAAACGAGGGTTACTTCGACAAACTACGGTGTTGTTCGGCTGCCATTCACGAAGCGTGTCTCACCTACAAAAGACACAGGGCTTCTTACGGCAAACCTCGACGAAGTTAGGGGAGTCTCATTGTCGGGTTCTGGAGTGAAAGGAGGCCCGACTACGAAGTGCGGCGCAAAGAACAGAAGAGTGAAGGTTGGTCGTGGGGAGGGAGAGAATGGGGGTACTACGCTGCTAAGTTCTCTTGCCACGACAGAGGTGTAATCGCTCACGAGGACGTTCGCGGCTAAAGAAGGGGGCGACTGTCACGAACTACGTCGTGACACCTCGATTACTCCACCAACAATGACCCTCCTTTGGCCATCAAAACCCCATCACGCCTTAACCTCTTTACTCTACACGTAACTCAGGACTTCTGACACCAAGTACGGCGAAGTTAGACGGAGTTAGGCTAAGTAGGGACAATGGGAGCAGAAGTGCGGCGATGTTAGGCGGGGTTAGGCTAAGTAGGGACAATGGGAGCAGAAGTGCGGCGATGTTAGGCGGAGTTAGTCGAAGGAGGAAGAGGATGGCCGAGGGCTCGGGGAAGTTGGACGAAGTGCGTTGAAGTACGTCAAAGCGCGAGAGGGTTGGATGAAGGTCTAGGAGGAGTAGATAATATTAGCTGAGAAGATCGCTGAAGTTCTTCAGCGATCCTTGATTGTTGTCAGTAGTAAAAGACAGATAGAGATAGCTATAAATCAAGATACATCGCCATCAGTAGATCAAAACCCTAGTTAGAGTAACTACGCCGAAGTACGCCGTAGTTACACCCCTTTCGAAGTCTGCGCCCTCCTGGTTGGGTGAGACATCGACTCAGAGCGTGAAGTTAGCCGAGGTTCGTCGACCGTCGGTCTATTAAGAAGTAGTTGTTCGACGGCCGTGACACGAAGTTCCCAGAGATCTTTGACGATCTCTGGTTGTTGTCTTAGTGATAGAAGTTAGTTAAGCACGAAGTTATCACACCCAGAAGTTATTGTCACCTATTTCATATCTCGAGCAACGAAGTTGGTGAAGGTCGAAGCCCACGAAGTTATTGGCCGTCGGTCCTAAGAAGTTAAGGAAGAAACAACCCTGTGACATAGTGCTTAGACGTTACTTGTAGTTCAGACAGAGGAAGATACATTCTTCGAAGAGATAACGGATAGCTTCAAATAATGTATCTGCTGACTACGCTCAGGGACTCCTCAACCATAACTCCGTGGACCCTGATCTCCTAATACCGACGTGGCAGTCATGTTCATGACAGTATGTCAGTGGCAGGAGATGTATTTGTATGACACCTCGAGTTGAACGTTCTTTGGTATGAAAAGTCAGTCTGACTTGTGTGGCTACAGTGACTCTAACATGACAGTTGAAGTTTTGTTGTACGTACGTGACCTACGGAAGCCGTGACACTTCGGAGCCTCATGGGGGTAAGCATGACCAACAGAGGATCCGTGCCACTTGGGAGCATCATGGTTCCTTGACCATGACCCACCAAAGAATCATTCCTCATCAACAACCACTGATCTAGACAATCACAAAATTCTTGAGGGGGACGTTGGAGGTGGTGAGAGGATACTAGAACCATTTGTCTGTCAGATTTGACCATCCATGGTGTGAAAACAGTGCCCCATGGTCCTCATCAAGAGGTCAAATAAGTGGAGAACTATGCATCCCTGGCCTCTTCCTCCCGCAGGATATCATGCAGTATATCTTCAGTTACCTTGCCAAGCAATGAGGACTGGGTTTGTGAGTTATGGGTTTGATCAGGACCAATTCTTCTGTGGGTCACGGAGCTCCCAACAGTCATGCTAACCCCCATGCCTCTTCGAAGCGTCACGGCTTCCGTCCGTCACCTAACAAGTTTTCCACCTGGCAAGCATGTTGGAACCCAAGGTTACCAAAAGCCCCACGATTGCTTGAACGTGGATTCAGACATCAGTAATACTAATTAGTGACAGGGGTGATGAAGCCTCAATCCGAGTTGACGCGGAGTTTAGAGCATCAGTGCAAGATGTGATGTAGCACAGGCCTACTCGATTAGCATCTTACGTGCTGTTGGATGTCAAACTTCCAGTGGATGACCATCAAGATATATAGTCTTCTCCATTGGCTTCCCTTTGGCTAGCTAGAGGATTACTGGGGAACGAGACTTGGGGCAGAAAAGTGACTGCATCACATGTGAGGGGTATGTATGATGACCGCTCTTTCGCCTGGAAACTTCGGATCCCCGGTCGAGGAGAGGACGATTCTTTTCAGTCCCCTTCCTCGATGGAATGCAGTTTTTCTCCAGGCCCTCCAATGTGTATGTCCTAGATATTCATACCATATAGCAGGGATCTAGGGAGAATCTCCCATCGTACGTGTTCGGATAGCAGAGGAGGAGAGGCTTACTATCTTGCTTACCATTTACAGGTCAGCTAACCATGGAAGGCAACCAGTGAAAGGATCCGCGGGAGTGCAAAATCATCTCCTGCTCACTTCATCTTTCCACACCCTTTTTGCCACTGTATACATACATACAGTAGCTTATCAATTTCCATCCAAGCATTCTACCGCAGCTAACCAAAATATCCAATCAATAGATATTGAGGCATTCCCCCATCTTATTGTCAAACACACTTTTGCAAACGAAAAGGAGAGTGCTGGTTGCTGGATTATGCTTGGCTGTCTGAAAAGTCTGTGTCCTTGTCTAAGTGCGTCAGACAATGACCCAAGCCATCATGAATTGTCACTCCGTGACATACCAGAAGAGTTGGCCAAGCTTCTGACTCAGGGCATACTTCCTTCAAGCCATCTATTCACATGGGCGGATGACACAACTGCACATTTGGGAATCTTTGTAACAAGCGGGAACGCCGAACCCATGGAAGTACTCACTACCGCGTTTCAAGCCATTTCCAGGCTTCAAGGATCTAATGGTGGGGCATTTGGGCTCCCGGTTACGGTCAATGATGCAGCCACATCGGGAACTACCAACGCAGACGACCCAAATACAAAGTGGTTCAACATGGCATATCAATCCTTCAGGGCGCAACAATGGCATGTGGTGCAGCTGTCAGAGCCGTTATGCAATAAGGCCCAATACAGCTTGTTCTTTTGGTGTGCCTCCTGGTCAAAATCCGCAGAATCACCCAGAGCTTGGATCCCCAACCCAGAACACAGGCCCTTAGCAGTAGATACAATGAATGTTAACTCCCCGGGGGAAGGTACCAGTGCTCTTTCATTGTAGTGGCAGTGCCTGAAAGTTGTCTGGAAAAGACAGACACTTCTGTTGTTTTGTGGACCATCACACCACCAAACCTCTGACAGCCAGCGGCAGTGGATGGGACGGTGCATCGAGGGAGTGAAGCGGATGTAATGGAATCTAAATGCTGAGGAGGGAAATGCATGATATGACAAGGTGGTAAAGCATTGAGTGCAGGCATGGAATGGATATTGAAGATCCTTGTCTATTCGCCATTGATAGTGCAGAAAGTTGAAACATACCGGATGAGTATACATGCCCTCTAAATTAGGAGGATGGGGAGGACACTTTTCCGTGCGTGAAGCTCCTTCCGAATCCTTGACTTCCTCTCCCTCTGCTGCAAGATTCATGGACTGTTTTTGTGATTGTGCTGGTTTTGATTGTGACTATTGATGTCAGGAGATAATACGCTTACAGAGCTTACACGAGGAATTGCCCCATAAGTATCGACTAATATTTATATGGAAAGTCCGGGCAGCTAATTTTTGGACGTAATTCCAGAACAAAACCCCTCTCAGACCATACTGTATATTTTTCTGAATGGTAAGCGTTGCAACCCACTCTTGATCAAATACAAAGGAGAGGAAGGGCTTCTTTCCTCAAGACCCATCTCCGGCCCAAGACGCTGTAACAAACTTCCCTCATACAACTCACTCTGTCCCGTTTGCAACTTCTCACTCCGTATCTTTGATTACCGTCTGGATTACAATCCACAATCTCTCCCTTGAAATGAGTACTCATACTATTATACCCATGCATATTGAAGAACCTCCCACCAGGAGCAATGAAACATCCCTGAAAACCCTTTTTGGACAAGGTTGGAAGGCCTGCTCCGATCTTTTCTCCAAGTTCTACCCGTGTCAGGACAGCCATGATGGAGTGAGCAGAACTCGTAGGATGCCCAACGCCTGGACTGTGGTGGAAAACGCAGATGGCAATGAACTCATTGTACTCGTCTAGACTATGAATGATAGGCTTTGTTTGGGTCTACTGACAATGTCGGCGGAGCACTCAGAATACAACAAGCAATATGTTGCCAGAAACTTCAAGCAAGTGTTCTCCTCTTCTGCATGCTCAGTCAGGGAACTACAAGCCCTGTCACACGCCGGAAACTGGTTGGAATTGGAGGATTCTTGGTGTAAAATTGTGACAACTGTACTCGAGGCAGAACCGGGTTGGAAAGTTGGACGGTTGCCATTTCATTTTCGTCCAACACCAGGAGGGTCATTGGAGGGTGGATGTTATATGATGTACTCATTGGCAGAGTTCAAAGACACCAATGAAGTGTTTGAGGAGGATCGCGCGCAATCCACAGATAGTGGGCAACAGATAGACTCACTGTTCGATGAAGACGTCATGAATCATGAATGGGAATCTGAAGGAATCCATATTGAAGGAGCCGGGGAGTCAGGAGTGGCATCTGATCTGGTCTCTCAGACTATCCAAACGGTAAGGCAGAACAAGTTGCAAGAGATGATGGAGAAATTAGAGTGGATCGCCTGACCTTCATTTCCAACAGTTGGGGTAATTGTTTGATATATGATTTACTTGTAGACATGGAGGTGAGAGTGAGAGAGGGGACTTTGAGCACCTTGTGGGGTGGAGGGTGAAACCCAAGGGTCTTGCTGATAGGCTACATGCACATCAAGATTCAGTATTGATGATATCTCCCTCCTTGGCCACTTCCTCAGGTTAGCTCCCCTCATGTCTTCACACAGGCTCCACAGGCTTGTAACCCTTCATGTTGACCCATTGCTCAATATATCATTGTTTTTGGCCTTCTCTAACTGTCCAACTTCAGCTGTAAACCACTGGCCAGAGATCCGTTCACTTGCTCAGGTGGAGGGAGTGATATTGTGGTTGTACCTATTAAAAGGGGAGTTCAGACCCTCAAAACCTTCATTGAAAAAACAGTCAATGACTGTATGATTGGATTTTGAACTTTTAGTAGCTGGACAAGTACAGTGTGAGGTTCCTGATGGTCCATCACCCATACTGCTTATCAGTGGAACAGTCAAAAAGAGAGAGGAGTGATCCATGAAATACCAATCCCAAGGAACCTGTTACTGCTACTCCTGATCTGGACAGCTACTCGACTTGGACTGATCAAGTTGAACTGAGATCATACCTCATTGTGCGCACCAGTAAAGAGTAATTTGGTTCTTTTCCATGGATGGTGAAGGGACACTCGAACAGATTATGCACGCCGGATGAACATGTTGCATACTACTTCTCTCATCTTCTTCATATTCACTTTCCCAACTTTCCCTTCCTCATGTCACAACCTCCACAATCGCACTTTGCTTACATTCCGTAAAAAAACATTCAATCTCAATCCCCACTGGTCGTATCCTCTCCAGTTAGTCTTCTGCTCATTCGCTGGCGCAAGAAGAAGGTGCGGTGTTGTAATCGTACATGTCCGAAGCTGTTGTCGAACCTACGTAACCCGCCCCGGAAGCGCAGAAAGTGACGGTGTAATCGGGTGCGGATCCCACTGGTGCTGGACAAGTCCAGAGGGCGGTCCCTGATGCTTCACTGTTCGTCAGCAAATGAAATTCCAGCATCTAAATCATGTCGCTTCTATCTCTCTACCTCGTTCCGACTGATAGGGGGGAATACTAGTTTTGATATTCACTCCGGAAGATGTGGGAGCGAGCCGGGTTGATGCAGGTGAAGAACTTTGAGGAGAAAGAGGTTCATGATGGGTACAACTTGACGTCGAGGAGACAAATGAAGAGAGGCTGACTCATAGGCAAACTAACAACGTCAGCAATTGACCATACTCTAGCTTGCACATGAATGATGAGCACAAGTTCTCAAAACCGAAGATTCATGTTGACGGAGGGGAGGGTGTGGGGAACACGAAGTCACTCACGGCGTAAGAGTTGGGACAGTTATCCTTGAATAAATGATAGTAATCCACACAATCAGCTTTACAATGATCAGGCGTACCAAATTGACCTAAGCAGGTCAGCTTTTTGTGCTTCTCAACAATATTTGTATTACCGAAGTCAGATATCTTCAAGGATGTAGTGCGTGGGTATGTGATGAGATTCGGTACGTGGTCGAAGGAAGTTATGATCACACAGGAATCTTGGTGGAGTGGGCAAATCAAGTGACACAATCCTTATTGACACGTCTTCGAGGGACGTGTGAAAGAAAGTAAAACAAAAAGAACTTACCGGTACAACAATCCCTATTTCCACCAGCTTCATTCCCCAATCCAGCCACACAAGCACTTGAGCATCCATAATTGGTACCACCAGAATCGATATCGCTCCTCAATGGTGCAGGACAAAGAGTGTTGAGGTTTACCGCACATTCTGCCGTGGGGCAACTTCCACTGGTGATAGAGACTGGTATGTTGAAACCGTCAACGAGAGAAACGTCGTAGTTGTCAACACCTCCAGAAGAGCTCAAGGTGAACTCGGCTGAAAGTCAGCTGATACGGCAATCCCGATTGTAGCACACGACTGTTTGAAACACTCAAGGGAGAGAAATCTCATTTGGAACCAAGAGAGATGGAGTAGGAAGGTAGAAATAAAGTGGGGGGAAGGGACATACCTAAAGTAGCGGGAGGTACACCTGTACCCGTACTGCTAGTCAGCTGTCGCTCAAATGAGAGTCCTCTCAACGCCCTGACCAATCTTCACTCTGCACACAGTATAAATCACATGAACCTCGCCGCGATGGGACCATGAGGAGGAAAAACGTTCACGCTCTGGAAAGGTTTTGAATGCATGAGTAAAAAAGTGGGCTCACCAAGTATCACCTCCTGCCGCTCCAACAGTACATTGTCCACTCAAGCATGTTCCACCACTACATCCCGTCCTTGCCCAAATTCTACCAGCTGTCCAATTATCAGGTACGGGAAAACTGGTGGATTGACCAGCATCAAGTTCGAACCCTGTAGCTTGAGTAGGGGCGTCACCTGATCCTGTGAAAAGAGCAGGCCAGATGGTATCCGAACATGAATTGACGACTGTGATCGTTCTAGCCGAAACGATTGATATGGAAGTGAGGATGTTGAAAAGAAGCATTGTGATGTCTGTGGCGATTCTTCCTGTTGTGGCGGTGCGATTGATTGGAGGTCCGATACTTGGTATGAAATCTTAATAGGAATAAGAAAAGTTTGTTTGAAAGATAGGAAAGGTATGGAAAGAGAGTAGATATTATAGATAAATTCAGTGGACGAGTAGGACTTTCTAACTACGTCACATGAGTATGGAAATTCCGAATGATCAATCGTGGATCTGTGCGTTAGTGAAAATCAAGAGGAAGAGAGGATCATGACGTCTGTCTAGTGTATTTTGCTCTGAACATAATGTTAAAGTATCGGTCAATCATTCGGAACTCTTCATGGATTTAGGAGTAATGTGATAGTATGTGAAATGTCAGAGTCACATGTGGGAATGTTCGATCACATCTCGCCGACCTTCCGAGGCCGGAGAACCGGGATGAGTCGTCGAATTGGGCCAAAGTGTCGCTTAATCCGCAGTTCATGGACCGCATGACAGAGTGATTTGAGATCGTTCGAAAACTATACTGCAAGGTCGAGGATGGACGTATAAGATCGTCAATAGTTCTCTAGCTCGTGGAAATGCACGATATCTGGTTCAAAGGTGAGTGGGGCCAGATGGTCAGTTGACAGGACAATTGGAGTATCACTGTGATTGTGGGTCAATTTAATAAGACATTTTGTGAACATGTCACATTGTCATATCCTCCTGATTTCCGCTCACAAATCGTGCAATTATCCGCCTGATGGGGGTTAGTCACAAAGAAGGAGAAGTTCGATCCGTAGTGAGAAAGGTTTTGGATGATGGACTGAGCGGTCTAACAAAGCGAATCAACCGCTGAAATGTCGATTATCCGAGAGGAAAGATTCGCGTAGCTTCAAATCCAAGTGTCTTCCGACGTCCGCAGTACCGCAGTTATAATCATTCGGTTAGTAAAGTGAAGATCTCTATGACGTAGTGGACGATCTTCGAGTGACTTACACGTTCAAGTCCGTAGTCGAAGGCTGGATAGTGATTTCGATTACGGGTGGAAAATGATCATGGGCAATTTTTTGAAGCATTCGAGTTTCACTGGTGTTCGGTATATTGTTCCGATGAATAATTTCACGTGTTTGACTTCTAAATGAAAGGCGTGTCAGTTTGACGAACCGAGATCGCACGTGTTTGAAGTCAAATAGATTCGCAAATCGATAATATACTCATCGATGAGGTCCAATTTCTTGATCGATATTCTGATATTGACGTAGTTGAAGTTGGAATCGAAAGCTGTCCAGATCGAAGATCCATGTATCATCAGTCCATCGAAATCATCAGTCCTCTTAACTTTCATCATCATCCTCATGAATTTCCTCTTGTAACTGATTCAAGCATGTCTAAAGACATACGTTCCTTCCTACCCACCCCAGCTTTATGACATTCTGACATGGTGAAAGATTGAAGATCAAAGATCATAATCACTATCCTCCTCGTCCCCATTCCTGATCCCGCTCGCTTTACTCCCCACCATACCGACCTTTCCGAGTCTGGACTCCCCATCAACATCATCATCTTCTTCCTCTTCATTTCTCTTCGGACCTAAACTATCTGCTGGTTTCTCGATCGCTTTGTATCTCAATAAAACTCCCTCTAGCTCTCTGACGGTTGTTTTGAGACCGTTAAGTCCTTGTCCAGCGACGAGATTTCCGGTGATTTCTCCGTTACGATATACGAGCAGTGTGGGGACATTACGATCGGGGTAGTTGGGTATGCATAGATGGGCGGGGATGGAGAGGAATTTGGTGGATGGGTGAGCGGTGGCTAGGGTTTGTAGGAGGGGTCGAAGGTGTTGAGAGAGGGGTATTCTGAGGTCAGAACGACTTACATCCCTCAAGACTACGAATAGAACTGTATGAGAGTACAGTATGCAGAAGGTAGCGATTGCAAACCTGAAGCATGTCTAGGTACTGTTGTGGTGACTAAGAGAAGAAGAGCAAGCTGAGGGAAGACTCACGAATCCTTATATAAGAACACAACCACCCCAGTTCCTCTCAACCTCCCGTTTCTATCAACCAAACCCCCTTCATCCTCCTTCTCATCATCATCATCGTCCTCTTCTTCTTGTTGTCCAAGAGGAGACTGCTTACTACCCTCCGTCACCTCTTTGACGAAATCTTCCCTTCCGAGAGGCATCAAACTCCCAAACCTTCCACTTTTCTCTTCCTTACGCATCTCTGCCATCCGTTGACGACGATAAGCTTCAAACACCTTTTCATCATCAGAATCCAGTTGTTCGTCTTCTAACAGTTCGCCTAGCTGATCGGGTGTGGCTTGCGAGGCTAATGCATGGGTGATGTCGTTGTGGGATAAATGAGGGAGGTCAGGAGAAGGTTCTCTAGAAGGGGGTTTAGGAGGGATGATGCCATGAGCTCGGAGGGCGTCATTGCTGGATGTCAGTATGACTTCAATGACACTTACTTCTGGTATCTGCTAGCTCATATGGAGCTAATGTGGGGCTGCATGGCAGTTATCTTGTACCGGGAGGAGCCAGGAGCGGTCATAGGGGACAGCGAAAGGAGCTAGAAGATGGGGTTGAAAGACATACAACTCTGTATCTTCGTTGTGATTATTGACCATGTCCAATTCTCCTCTTGCTGTTTCTCTCCTCACTTGACTCGATGTAGCTTGCCAGGTAGAGTTGATAGATGAATGAGAAAAGAGGCAAAAGAAGGAGAGAGTTTAGTCATCAAAACGTGTCTCGTCACCATCCGGGGCCCCGGTTCCGCCTCCGCCTCCGCCTACTCCCCTCCTTCCTCCTTCCCCCCGTCTCATCCTGTGCAAACAACATGCAACGTCCCTCACGACCATGACAGATGATTTCTCATCCAGGTGGCAGTCTCTTCTGAGATGGTTGGAGGGATTCGAAGGGTTCAAATGTCTTGTAGAGCCTCGTGAGGTTGATGGTGAGTCGGTCCTTCTCTCCTGTTGCTTCAACAAACACTTCCCGGTAGCTATCTATTGCACCTATCGTCCTTGTCAGATAGCTAACTCTCTAGGAGCAGGTAGAGGACTATTCACAACTAGAGCTATCAAGGTAATTTCATCTTACTCTACCTTCCAAGCCTTACTCCCACTTCGTCTTCCCCTACAAAACTCGAACTCTTCCCTCATGATGACATCTGCTCGGAGATGATCTTCGTACATAACCTGAGTAGAAATATGATCATACAAATTAAGTTTCTGATGCTAACGATTAGGCAGGAGAGACTATACTCGAAATTCCAGCTCCAGCACTACTCAATCCTTTAACCCTCCCCACTGCTCTCATACCCAAACATTTATACCCTATACCTCATCGGGGGAATCACTATACTAAAAGACCTCGTACTTCCGTCGCAGCACGACTCAACACTACTCAACTCTTGACTCTATTTATGGCTCTGACTCGACGAGAAGGATACGCAGATGATTGGAAACCATATCTCGATACTCTCCCTACGAATTTCAGACCATGGCATCCTCTCACTTGGTTGATTCCATATGATACTTCTCCCATCTGTACACCGAAGACAAATACCTCAACGAATGATGCTGAGCAAGAGAATGAATCGCTTGAAGATGTGCATAAAAATCGGAAGAAGAGGAAACGACAAAGTGAGGTTGATGGGAATGAAGATATAGAACAGCGGAGACAATGGTGGTTGTCGCTGTATGCGAATATCCCACTTTCTGCGAGGAAGAAAGTGGATGTTGTAAAGGGAAGATATGAAGATGACTTGGTGGTTTTACGGAATGTCTTAGTGAGTTTCTTTTGGATAAGAGATTGAAGGATAAGGGGTGATAACATGAGTAGGTGAATGAGGGATCTTTTGGATCTGATGGCTTGGAGAAGGAAGTGACGGGGGAAGATCTCTTATGGGCTTGGCTCATCGGTGAGTGACATTATTCTTCTAATTGACATCTACCTTTCACTTACGGTATTGTCCACATTCTCCTCCGCTGTTCCTACATCTCCACCTTATCAAAAGTCCCAGACTGGCGTTGCAAGTGTCTTCCCCCGAAACCCGTCTATGACAATCCCACGTGGAATACCAACTCCGATGCTCAAATGTAAGACGGTACTGACCTCAGTCAATACTCGTAGCGTCACTCTCGCCTTAGGTCTTCCAGAATATCCTCCAGACGTATATAATCATACCCTCGTACCACTCCTCGATCTTCTAAACCATTCATCCCATCCCTCTGTAGGTCTACCTCATTGGATCCCTACTGCTTCTTCTCTCCCTCGTGTTCGTACCAAAAACCCATCTGGTCCAACTCCTCCTGCTCTGAAGAATGACGGTCATTCAACATTCGCGTCAAAACCATACAGTGGGAGTACAGAGGAACATTTGATACCTGGTAAAATCTCCATGTGTCTGAAATCGGGGAAAGATATGGAAGAAGGGGTTGAAGTGAGCTTCGAATACGGTGGCCATGGGAGTGAAGTGTTGATGGCTGAATATGGGTTTGTGGAGGGGCCTTCAAGTTCAAGGCAATCGCCAATTTCAGAAATTCCTGGGGGTTCGGATGCTTCAGATGCCGGAGCAAAGTTACAAAAGTCCGGACGATCAAAAAGCCCCAGAACGTCGAATGTCTCTCCCGAAGTGATCAAAGAGGGAAATGTGAAAGACAAAGATACGAAACACAATGGGAAACACGATCATTCTTCCGCAGTTGCAAGGAGATGGTTGGAAATGCCACATGCGCAAGTCGACTTAGATCATTTGATAGAACCATTATGGCACACAATCAACGATGGAGATCTGAAGAAAGATGTTTTGAGGGAGATGAAATATTCTGGGTAAGTCTTCCCCTCATCTCGTATCCTTGTTGTCAACTTCATTAAAAATTTCACAAGAGTTGCATAGAACTGAATATTCACAACATTCCAGAGCTTAGGAGAGTTTGCTGATTGATAGGAAAAACACCATTTATGCTAATCCTTCACCCGCACCGTCACATTCATTACTTATGACTCTCCGAATCCTCCATCTCACCCCGGAACAGAAAGACAAATTAGATCCGATCAAGAAGTTTCTGGTCACCTATGTGTCGCCTGATAACGAGGAGAAAGTGCGAAATACTTTATCTACAATGTGTAAAGAGGTGGTGAATGATGCGGAGGAAGCACTCGGAAGTGAATTTCTCTCTTTGGACCGGGCGAGGGGTATCCTTTCGGTCGATATCTCTTCCTCTGACGGACTAGCCAAATATACGGATGATACGGATGAGAGGAAAAGTGACCGAAAAGGCCAGAGCGGAACCAGCCATCGGAGAAAGACCTCTGAGGAAGGTATCAGTGAGATAAGTCATAGAATGTTCAAAGGGAAGAGATCACGTGAGGAAGAAGTAGAAGTAGTCGGTACTGAAAAGAAACGGAAGATTTCAACCCGGGCAAAAAAACACGATAACAAGTCTGTGAGCCTGGAAGATCTCGACGAAGGATCTAGACATGGGAAAGAGACAGAAGGTGGGGAAGGGATAGTGAGGGAAGGAGAGATATCGAAGAGTGAATCAAATTTGGAAGATAGGGAAAGAGCGAGGCAGTACGTACGGTTATTATGGGAAGAACAGAAGGAAGTTTGTATGGGGATGTTGAAAAGGTTGGATAATGATGAACCATTGGAATGAATCTTTTTCTTGAAGATCAAAGTATTTTCTCTTATGTTTATATGTCTTGAATGGATCTCTCGACATTGATATCGTCTCAGATTTCAACATGGTTTATTTGTTCGATTCCTTGATTTTCAACGTTTGTTGAACTTTATGATGATCTTGTTTGCTACATACCTCCCGTACTTGACCGAATTGTTCTGATGAATCTCTTGAATATCGTCGGCCGTCGGATTATCGTTACTGCCCATATGTTGCGATCACCCTTGTTGTGATAGGTGTATGTCAAATGTGTACGAGACCACGGAGTCATAACTATGATATGTGATATGAGCGGCATGAGGCAATTTATAATTCTCTTGGAAGCGTATTCGACCAATGTATTCGACGGATCGAGGGAAAGAGTAGAAATCCTTTCCGAGTTTACCCAACTATCCCTACGAGTTGAGCCGCACTTTTTAATTCCCTTGGAAGTGTATCCGACGAATGTACTGGACGGACTGAGGGGAAGATGAGAGATCGTTTTCAGGAATGAGAGGAGGGAGGAGGGATGTTCAAAATATGATCGCACGGATGATTCGTGTGATGGAATTTACCATCACCCTTCCATTCCATTACTTTGTAACGACTTGTGATATCGGTGATACTCTAATCAGGGGGAATGGAAGGCGATTCACTGTGTACTTTTCGAAGGGTACGATAATCGGTCATGGAATTGATATCCTAGGAGACGAAGTCATCTAGATCGAGTATGAGATTGATTTCCATCGATTAAATTAGGGATTGTGATGATACTATAATTGCTTTCTTTAAGTCGATAGGTATACATGATCACAAGTGAGTGACGTCCGCAGGTATCTGATGGGAAAGGGGAGATATTGAGATATTGCCAGCTGGAGGATAAGACGAAGCAGAAGAAGTTCTGTTGGTTTGAAAGTTTTTTGTCATCGATCCGGAGTTCGACACGACGTTTCCCCTCCTTGCTATTGAATCTTCAGAAGCCGCTACTCCTCCGCTAGGAATCTATTTCTTTCCAATAAGGACCTTGAGTTGAGTTGGTGGAAGAGTTGGAAGTTCGTCAGGTGTTGCTGTTTCGATAGGAGGGGTGAAATCCGATAACCCTATGGATATGCGCGATGATTGAACGAACAACTAATTTGTAGTTGTCAAGTATTCTAAATCGACTTAGGTTCTGAAAGTATGATGATTCGACCTTAAGAGTTGGAAGGGCTGGTGAGATATGTGTGCAGATAAGGAAGGGTCAGGGGAGTTGGATGAACCTATCATGATTATGGTTATGGAACAAGAAAACTGCAGGATGTGGAATACAGATTGTTTTGTTTAATCAAGAACCGTGCACTGTTATGTATTATCGAAGCATGCACCCTTGGCTCTCCATGTTGGCAGGTTTCAGGTCGGGCGGGGTGTAGGAATTAGTCCAATGATAGTGTTGTACGGGGGATCGTCCATGTGAGAATGACCAGATTACTAATGTTACGTTGAAGAACATAAGAAGGAAGGGTGGTGTTAGAGGAATGAGATGTCGGAACGATGTATTGAATTTCAAGGCGATGCCAGATCAAAGATTTTATCATCTATGCGATTTTGATAGCTGTTCAATCCATTTGACTTGGGGTGTGAGATGAACGTGTGTTCTGTTCGATTTGATACGGTAATATATCATTGTTTTGGGCCCGAGTTGAGATGGAGGAAGGATGGCATGATAGGGGTTGAGTAAACATACCCAATCTGGATCATTCGTTTCTGTTCAAGTGTCGATGGTGTACGTTGAAATGGTGCAGGGGGATCGTTGGCAGCAATGGTTCACTAGATGGGATAGATATAGTTAGCGAACGGAGGTTGTAAGTGGGAGAAGAGATAGGGCTCAGGTCCTAAGGTGAGGTTTTGGACGAGGTACAACAAACAGGACTAGGACCGAGGAAAAAGGGGGAAAGCTTTGACCCTTACTTTCTATCCTGATCCTGAGCCCAGTCGAAATAGTCACGCATTATGTGACGAGTCGCTTGATTTTTATCGTTAGCTCTCATCACAAAACGGGAAGATCTGGTTTCCGATGCCACAAGATTGGTAAGGACGATGGATTGCGATGGTGCCGAAAGGTGAAGAAAGAAATCACCATTTCCATATAGTTGGTACGCCTCATATTTCTCCATGACCTCACTTTAGCACTTTTATGACTGTGTCCGATCTCATATAAGGGTTGTCTACCATGGTCCAGTCACCTACACCGTATGTCCACTCATCATCCGGTTGCCACATTGATGAGCCCTTCCTTCCGTATCTCCCCCTCCCTTCCTGCCCTTCTCATTCACGCGCTTCCAATGTCGGATAATCTCTACTTCTCAAATAACCCCACTCCTTATCTCCACTCTCCCCATTAGGATGACCACAGTACTCGGTTCCCTACCCTAACTGGTTAAACACCGTATGAAAACCTCGACCCCTGAGAAATGTCCATCACGGACACACGGATAGATTCACAAGGGAATTCTTACCCTCTTTCAGGACTAGCTAAACTTCTTTTTCGAAACGGATCAAGGGCTGTGTATGATGATCTGTTTGTTATCTCTCCAATAGCACGTCAGGGTTTATTGGTCGAAAGAGAAATATACATCCGGAAATGAAAGTGCCACTTTCCGCCGTCCGGGACACACGTACATCGTGTACGATTGTCACCTGATAAGACTTGATTGGTAGAAACTATATTACTGGAACTCTGTGGAAATAAGACCGGGACATGTCTACGTACTATACGAGTGACCATACGGATGGGTCTCTAGCCAGTGAGGAAGATACAATCACGGACCAAAAGAGACATCACTTCATCAAGATCTCGACTCACGTCACCCCAAAGATGAAAGGATTCCAGCTAAGTGCTAAGTAAGTAACGGATCAATTATTGTTTTCCCTGAAATCACGGATCCGTACCTCTCTCTTCGCTGTCGGTCTCCCTATGATCCACTCTCCTACATACTATTCAAAAACGCTAAGGAATAAGTAATGTAGAATCTTTCATCTCATTCCACGATTCCAATTCCGCCACTCGCCTCGTGGCTTAGAATTCCAAGGTGAGACAACGGTGATCAAGGGGGAATCGGGCGAGAACGATTACATAGATCGATCAAAAGAGATCGTCCGAATGATATCGGGGATGAAAAGATCAGCAAGATCCGATTGCTGGGGACCTACACAGGTAGGTCCCTTTGACTCGTTCCTGTTTAGTGGGGTAAAACGTATCGTACCTTTCCTTAACATCCACTCATCTTGATTAGACAGAGGAGAAATGATCAGTACGAGTACTGTAGGTAGAGTAGAAGTAGAACGGTAGGTATTAGACACCTTACTTGTACTAACTCGTTCGGGTCCCACCCATCGGGGTTTGACCCTCGCTATGATAGATGATAGAGTTTAAAACAAAGGACGAATGAAACATGTCAAGTGTTAAAGGATGGATATGGTCCGTGACTCCGTGCGTTATTGATCATCAAAAAGGAAGTTTTGTTTCAAAAAAGATATGACGCAGGTGCATCAAATCATAAAACCCACGTTGTCATTTCTCTTATATAACCTTCCGCCATGGCACCATGGACCATTCTAATGAAATGTACCACAGCTAATACCTCGTGCACGGTAATTTGAAGATTTCTGACACATGGTGAGAGATCGGATCCAAAAGTGAAGAATGATGAGAAACACAAACACAAACTGATCGTCCATCCTTTCCCTCCGCATGTTGGGCGTCAAACAATAGTCCGATAAACCATGGTAACACAGTGTGGACTAAATCAATGATCGATGTCTACATATAAACGTGATGAGATGATGAGATGAGTTGATGAAGATGGGGATTCGTACCCGTGCGCGACGAACGATAAACGAATATGAATTTGTGGAACCATCATAAGTTGAATAGGGGTACAGTCATGTTGATTGGGTTGTTTTTTTTCGTATATCATGTCTTTGTATGGATATAATGGGTTTTTCTCTTCTTTCTTCTTCCTCTTTCCTTGACATTTTCAGATTTCGTTCTATTGACAGAAAGTGTTTGACTACTGAGAAACCGAAACGAGAACAACAAAAAAACCCGTGGTAATCGATCAAAAGCTGGAACACGCCGATCTGAAAGTGACTCATAAACCCACCCACCCACCCACGGCCACGGAATAAGGAAAGATACGGGAACCGAGAGATTAAGTGATGAGTGGTCGAAGTGAAAGGTTAGTTATCATTCTTTTTTCTCTTCTTCATTTACTTTTAAGATTCTACACTCATCCACACTATATCCTATTGAATTTGTTTCGAGTATAGAGGTGAAACTTTATAGGTGAGTTGATAGTACCTGTTGAGGACAATCGACCAAAAAGTGGCGGTTGGGGCAAGGTCGGGTTTATAAAGGGAGTACTTTGAATGTGTGGTAACTGAGAAACAGGAATGTCTCATCACGACCAACAACCTCATTGGGAAAGATCAAGTGGAAGTCGTTCAACTCATCCACCGGTTCTTCCTCTTCGTCATCAAGACGATCCCAGAGAAACACAAAGACATCACGCGCCACAAGGATCACTCCATCCCAATCGACATCAAGACCTGGATGGTGAACATTACACGGAGTCTCGGTATGATCGTTCCTACGGTTTCCCACCTCTTGTACAACCTCGACCACCTATTCATTCTTCCGGTCCACCCACCACTTCAGCAAGTTCTTTCCATGTCTTCTATCCATCCGATCCCTCCCCTAACACAACCAACCATGTCGGTCCTTCTCGACAACCACCATCAAGATATATGAACCCAAGTGAGACGGCTTCTCAATGGACAAGCAGGTATCCTCAACCATCCACTTCCCTGGTCTTCGATGAGAAAGAGAGTCGACCGGTTCAATGGGGTCGAAACCAAAGTAGTTTCAACAAATCAAAGCAAGATTTTCCCAATAAAAGTCATACGTATCCACCTACCCTCACATTACCCATCGCTCCTCCTACACAGTCCACATCATTAGAACGTCGTATGGAAGGAAACAAATCGAAAAGTTGGCCTAGCCATGAATTGCACTCTCAACATCTGGATTCAAGATCCTCGATTCGATCAACGCCTTTTCCTCCACTTCCGAGTACCAAAAATGATGAAGCAGGATCAACTAGAACACTAGCTGGTACACTCAAAACCAACATAGCGACCCCAGGAAGCAGCTCAAGGGATACTTGGATGACCGACCAACCAAGAGTGACTGAACACCCAGGAACACACTTTGAACCCCATCGACATCCTCTCCCTCCTGCTGTCTACCCGGGTTTGACGGTAGGATCTACTCGTCTGAGAGGTTTTCAACCTGATTACCACCGTCCCACCACTGTACGTCTTCCACCTGCATCATCATCAGCTATCAACGGCACGGAATGTATCAAAGCTGGTACGGTGGAAGTTCATTTGATTCGACTACATAAATCAGCTCATTGGGAAGAGGATAAAGGGGAAAGGGAAGAGGTTGGGATTGGTTATGGGGTTTGAAAGTCGTTCAAATTCCTAATGAAGGGTTAGCAATAGGCTTTGAAGGTTTACATCAAGTGAGTAAATTATTACGTCTTTTGTTTCCTTTAGTATACCATACTCTACTTGTATCTTTCCGAAAATTTGTGGTGTCCTTTCCTTGTTTTCTCTCTTTTTCATGTTGTTTACATGAGATCATACCATACACCACACGAACGTTGTTGAAAGAATTTCAAATCATGCTTAATCCAGCATTGAAGAAGCCTCGGATGGCGTTTCCGTCAGATGAGGGGGAAAAGCAGTTGTCAAGCCGTGCGTTTCAACCACCAGCTCGACTTAGGTTGTGGTTGGGGTGGTATTGTCTGTATACAGACTGAAAATATGATCGAAGATGGAGTATTAAACTGATAATCAGAGAAATCCTCATCTGTCTCCTTTGATAATTCAACTTTCTATAAGAAATTCTCAAAATGAAGATATACCAGTCGAGCAAGTACAGTTCCTTCTTTAACCCCTTCCACTCTTCTCGGTATCGTTCAACTATAACCCCATCTACCTCCGTATTCTTCTTACTACTTCGACTATCTATCACCTTCTTCTCATCCCTCTGTCCTTGTCTGTCTCTTTCCCTTCGTGCTTCATTTCCGTATATCCATGTTCCCTCTCCAGGTTATTCTTATCCTGATATATTCAATCGGCCCACTTCATTCTTCTTCCGATCCTTCAAATCAATCGTCTTCATACTCATTCCCCACCTCCCTTCTCACCCCCCCTCTTTTAATCTCAATTTATCATTCCACATTTAAGTTCAATAAAAATCTGGTACAAGTCGATACTGGACTAACTCACCAGTCATCCAACATTACTCCATCGAATAGAATACCTCGTTTGTTCCCTCGAACTAATTTCCTCTAATGGTTCAGAAAAAGAACTAGTCGTTCCTCCTCTCCCTCCCCGAAATCAATATTCAATCCCATCTAAACCTATGTCAAACCTTGTAGGGGAGAGATATATGACATCTAAAGAGTACTCGATTTCAGGTGAAAAGAGATTATATTTCATTTACGATAATTTGGTGAGTTTGTCTTCTTCCCCAAACCCTCTCCATTGTGGATCATGATGTTTCGGTCAGATAAGGATTTCCATTCCCGTATGCTGGTAAGACTATCTTTGATCCGGTTTTCTGTTCCGAGGCCTTTGCTTTTTCTTGTGATGTCATATTAGGAGAGTATTTAAGTCTCATGATGTCACACCACAGGTATATTTGAGTTGTTTCTACTTGTTGTATACGTCGGGATAAAAGTCAAGTTCGATCCTTGACTTGATGTCGGTCCGAAGAATCCAGATCTATCCTTTCTCCTCTCTTGTGTGAACCAGAAAATATGATTGACTGATTTTCCAAAAATGATTTTCGATATAGGAAATTGAAGTGAAAAACTGATATTCAGTTAATCCGTGCTCCTGGGAAATACAAATTCAAATGTAAATTACTTGATCTAGCAGGGTAAGTAAATCTTCTCCTTGAAGCAATCGTTTCCCTCAATCTGGAATCACTTCATATTCTTCCTCCTCACTTATTTTGTACAAACAAGGACTGGAGGAGTTTCTCATACTCTATTACAATCCCCTTGTCGGAGTAATACCCAACTTTCTCGGTAGAAGTTGGAATTAATCATGCTTCCCGATTGTGAAACCTATTTCTCAAGTTTTTCCTTCGTGTTAATCCAAAGAGAACCGACTAGGTCCTTAACATTGACAGTGTTGATCCTATCTGTGTCTCATCATGAGAAGAATGATCAGGAACGATGATTTGAGTCAGAAAGGAAATAACTGATTTCTTTCAGACCGAAACATATAGGTACTTCCAATGGTGTTACTTCGGTCCTTACTTCCATCTGTACTGAATCATTTAATATACTGTCAGTACATGTTCTCTTCACCATTTATTTCTTGTCTCCGTCTTAAGTTATATTCGGCGTCATTTACCATCTCCACCTTCCCTCTGACCTTCTAACCCATGTCGTAGCCCCTTCGACCCCAACCTTCTTCTGCTCACCTCGAAAACCAGTCTCCAAACCGGCATTACCTGAAATACATCCTAATGTTCATCGAGCTTCTTTCATAACGGTCAATTCTCTGATATAATTTTCTCTCGTTGATGAGTCCTTGATACGATAATCATTACTCTTCTAAATACCCTCTCGTTCCTATCCTTCTTCCCAATGTTCCTCCCCGTTCGAATCATATCTTCGAAATCATTCAAAGCGTCACGGTTTCAGCGTGACAGACTGAAGGATGGATATAAGAAGTAAGAGAATTGACCATCAGACCGGAATGGGAACACCACTGCCCGGAACCATCAACGGATTTATGGAAAGAGATCAAAGAACAAGATGAGATCATAGTGAGTTTCAGCATGGATACGTCCAACGGGAGAACTGATCTTTTAGAACTCACATGATTCAGAGGTCAGTGAGTGGGAAGAAGTGAGTTAAATGGGTGAGATCAGTTGATTCGATGTGGTACTTGGAAGGTGGTTCTTGAGGCAGGATCAGGAAGATGGTCTTGGGCAAGTGAGAGATTGTTGTCTTGAAAGAGGGCGAGAGTTGTCTTCAGAGCGCATGGTCAGGGCTACAGTATCTTGCGCCGGGTGGGATAAGGTGAATCTTGAGGAATGATAAGGAGGATCGTCCTGGGCAGGTGAAAGAATGTTGTGGTGGGGAGGATTCAACAGGGTCGTCTTTGAGAGAGGATGAAAAAAGTTTTTCTTAGTGAAATATAAAGAGGATTGTATAATCAGCCGGCGGACAAGATTCGATTAGGTGTATATGAACAATATCGAATTGATTGACCCAACACGTAAGAGTGATAGAAATCAAAATTGGCCAATGGCATGAGTTCTGCAGGTGAGCATAATTACATAAAACTATGTGCTACAAGGGATTCCTTCAACTGGAGTATCGTTTCGTATTTTTTGGCTTAGTCGAGTGGTTTTTAGTGTAGATTTGTTGGATCGCACTCGAGATGTTTTTAAACCCCCTTCCAAATCATTCCTTCCTTGCAACCCTTGTTTTCTTCCTCCCCTTGCTCACAATTGTTCAAACCCCAACATCTTCCAGTTCTGTCCTCTTTCACATCCCCAATATCTCCCACTTCTCACTCGCCAAAACCCTTATCTTGATCGACGAACAATAAACGAATCTCCGTTCGGGGTAACATCAAACCGCCCACCCCCCCACTCCCACTCCCGCCATCCCCATTGCCAATCCCATCAACCCCACCCTGACTCTTTCCCCATCAGAAGTATCCCCACTCGATCCTGATCGTGACGTCGAAGCGGAGGCAAAACCTGAAATCGAAGATATGGAAGGGACCAAAGATCCTAATGCTCCATCACCGTATGTCGTACTTGCTGAAGGTATCTCGACTCCTGTTGGGGTTGAAACTTTTACTTTGGATGTTATTGAGTTGAGGGTAGATACGGGTATTGGATCTTGGTTGATAGATGAGCTGGAGAGAGAGGAAGGGTTGAATAGTTTTAGAGATGATAATGATGGGGTACTGTTTGTTAGCTTTCATTCTCCACTGTCCTCGTCATTCGCCATGAACCCTTATTGAAAGTTCTCTGTGTGCTATGAACGTTCTCTAAACGTATGGTCGGGCGAGTACAATAAGACATTCAGTGGTCATACTGGAACAGTGGATGATCACACTGGAATCTTGGGACTTTCGAGTGTGTTGGAATTTGTGCGAGAGATATGTTGATATGACTTTGGTGTTGCTAAGACAGATGGAATGTTGTGTACAATCATTTCACTTGAGTATGGTCCGAAGAGTGAATTTCGACCTCGTCATAATGATATAATTCGTAGCACCGAGGACAAGCCATTGGATGTGACAAGTGAAAAAAAATGGAAGAAACTCACGCAGTCTCGTGGAATACAGTAGTTGAATTGATCAACCCTTCTCTTTTCTCCATTTTCATTTCCCCTTTTACCAACATACACCACCATAATAGAATCGATAGAAATAATTTCATTCCGATACGTTTTCGGTTTCGTTGTTCCCCCGGGCCGGAAGAAAGAGCGAGTTAATTGTAGAGGGAGAGAGGGAGAGAGGGAGAGAGGGAGAGAGGGAGAGAGGGGGATAGGGGAGAGGGGCGTCTTGTTTGAAATCAAACTTATAGTACGGTATCTTATACCCTTTTAACAACCTTGACGAGTGATGTGGTAGGGTCAACGAGTGATACAGGTGGGGGTGAAGGGTTAAGAAGTGAAGATCAGTGGGGGTTACATGAAAACGTATTATATAAGTTATCCTACCCAGCCGTCCGCTCGCGTCCGGACGTCGTCCGCCACGAAGTCACGTGACACCCCCCTTTTTGCCCATAGCGTCCGAGGTCCCGTCCTTGTAACCGCGGTTACAGGAATTACACCATACAAACAGCCGCGGTTACAGACCTTCTCGGGTTCCTGAGTGTGAAAAAAGGGTTACAATGAACAATGCAACGTTATTTTCACTATCTGCAACTGTCTTTCATCCATTTCAGCTCTCTACCACCTGCTTTTGCTTTATTCAACTATATAATGTCTCGTCAAAACCGTCTTAACGCTACTATACATGATGAGATTGCGGATTGTTGGAATACGTCAGATAATTGGCGTGAAGACTTTGGGGAACTTGAGAAAATGAGTAATGCTTCCTCAACACAAGCTCATTACCAAGTACGCATACGAAGATGGCAAGAATGGTGTCAAAGAATGAAGTTTAGCACTGGGTACGTGACTTTGTATGAGTTGGCCGACGTCGGCCGACGTCGGCGGCAGATTGCTTGATGGGGCAAAGTAGGAACGATCAAAAGATGCTAATTGTTCCAGAGATACGGTTACACCGGAGTACGCCCTTAGATGGATATATACACAAGTGTTATTTTACCCCAATAATCGTACAGATACACGCAAAAGAGAACGTCAAAGTACCCCTGAGGAAGCAGAGACCTCAGTTGCTGGAGCAAGAAGAGCAAGTTCTGACCTACTACCAACATGCTCAATCGAAGATGTTGAAACAAGTTTGGATACGTTGGAAGAAAGTCAACTACGAGCTTTAGATGTAGTTGAAGACCTAACTCGAGGAGAAAAAGTGCCTACAACAACAGCTAGAGAAAGTGGTGTGTTCACTTGCTAACCGTGATATAAAGTGCTTGCTGAATGCCAGTTTTGTTAAAGCTTAGCCGAATGACGCAAAGTCAAGCGTCAATCAAACTGCATGTAGCTGCTCTGGTCAGTCTATGGAAACAGCAGAAATACAAAGGCATGAACAGTCATCCTCATCCGCGCTCGGCAGCAATGAAAAGCCTTTTGTTAGTCTTAAGACGAGTAGATGAACAAACGAAAAGGGAAATTGTAACGGTACTGGAAACACGACGACTAGGTCGCAGGTTGGGTCGAACTCGATGGAGGTCTCGTGGAAATCTAGGGGCTCTGGTGCTAATGGATCGTGTCTCCTCTGCAATCGATGTAGCCAACGAATGATATTGAAGAATCAGCAAAGTTGGTACTTTGCTGATTGTACTATATACTGTCTACAGGTATCCGTCTCCTCTTCTCAGTCCTACTGCAAGCGTCCATGTACATACTCGGACAGGTGAAAAACCGCTTTGAGCAAACCCAGTGGGGAAAATCTCGAAAGGGGAAAACCCGTCCCTACCTACTGCAGCACTGCCTCCAACTCCCGCTTTCCTCTGTCCTAATCCGTCGAACTCGATAGAGTTCCCTCGATTCGTTGTTACCCCGTAACAAGTTTCCCCCCCTGTCTCAAGGATCCTCGCCGAGGATCCTGAACCCTGTAACCAGGTGATGCACATGGATTGTTCTTAGACACCTTTGGTGCGCCCTGACGTCACACCTGCGCTAGTGTGACGGTTGCCATGAAAACGCGTCACCCGCACGGACCTCCAATGTGATCGAGAAATTACTGACCAAGTTACCTCCCCGTCTTCTTTCTCTCTTTCCTCTTCATTCTCTCTTTACCTCTTGTTCGTCGTTCTTTTTACTTATCTATCATCATCCATCCATATCTTACTCATATCTTAGAGATCCTTCCAACTCTGACCTGTCTGTGAGCATGTCTAAGCGTACTGTAAGCAATTCCCTTCGAATTCGATGTATATCCTCCTATCTCTCACTGGCTGACGAGATTAGTTGTCTCCTTCCACCTCCTCCCGTCAAACTCGAGCTTCCACCCAGGCAATCCTACCTGACGTCGACCCCGAACTTCTCATGCGTCAAACGAAAAGAATGAGAATTACTCCCCAAATTCCTGGTACTACCCAGACTTCCACGGTTGACGCTTCTCGAAGGGCTCTCGACACCATTAAGGATCGATATCAATCCGGTCCTTCTCGCGATCAACAATCGTCTCATCTTGATGACCAGGTCATCGAGCAATATTTCGACTTCGAAGGGGGTGCTGGGCCATCTGCCACTGGTGAGAACCTATCTCCCGCCAAATCCGTCGACTCCGAACACCCTACCGTCGTCGAAAATGAAAATTCTCCCGGTAAGCAACCCACTGGTCCTCCTTCTGAGGCTTCCGACGAACTTGTGGAGGTTCCCGAAGAACTTGGTGACATCTTTCACGCCCCTCGCAAGGTTACCGTCAACCAGGAACTGGTTAAGTTGCTCGAGGATCGAAAAGACTCCGAAATCGGTGAGAATTCCACCGAGTTCTGTTCGCTTCTGACTTGTTAGCTACCCTTTGGGCCAGCATGACCTTCCCCTCTGTTCGTCTCGCGTTGAAGAACGAAGCTCTGGACCGTTTCCGCGAAACCAACGCCATCAAGCCCACTGTAAAGTGGTTTAAGAACGCTGTAAGTCTCGAATTCTTTCAAGTTTTATCGATTCTAATCATTAGCTCGATCGTTTGGCCCAAGGTTGGCGCCTCCGCAACAAAAATGGTGCTGTTGTTCGGCTAGAGGGTGAGCTCTGTACCGATTGTCAACGTCGTCTCGATGGTGGCGAAGACTTTCGTGTTGGTTGTATTGGCCCTCGTAAGTTCTTGCTGCGACTCGTTCAATGTTGATGCAATTCAGTCGGTGGTGTGTGCGGTGAATGCTCTGCTAAGGGTACTTCAAAATGTTCGGTGAAGACCAACAACCCTGAGTCCAAATTCCGTGAGGTACCTGTCTATTTCCTTCGAACTTGGTCGATGTTGATGTATAGGGTATTGTTGTGGGAGCAAGAACGGTCACTTCCAAGGTTACTTTTGTCCTGGAGCACGAGCTTTGTGCGGCTTCGGTCCGCTATCGATCCCTTCCTGCCCATGATCAACCCGCCTGTCTGACCCAACTTTCGGGTTACATCCATCTCTTTACCTCCCTTCTCCTTCCTCTCCCCTCTCAACATCTGGATCTTTACAAATCCCTCCATCTTATTTCCGCCAACTATGCTCCTCCTTCCGCCGATGAAACTCTGGATCATCTTACTTCTACTGGTGATCCTACAGGATTGAGTTCCTCTCAGCCAATCGCTGGTCCCTCCTCTTCTCCCCATACTCCTCTCCCTCGCAATGTCATTCGTATTCCCGCTTCGGCCCGTCGTCCCCGAGCCAATTCTACCACCTCCAACTTTTAGTGTGTTTATATCTCTCTATTTGTAGCTATATTTCCTGTGTATGCATTTATTTCTGACCCAGTTTTGTTGATCTTGATCGAATTCTCACTTTCTTCTGGGGTCCCTCTTCCTTTTTTCCAAAAATTCACCAAAAACGGCCAACTCTTCCACATTTTCTCGTGGTTCCCAGTCATAGGCCGCATTTCCTGTGTATCCTAACCATTTTACCTTGAATTCTTCCTTTCCTCGTCGAATTCTGCTGTCCACGATTGCTTCCACATGGAATTCATCCTGGCCGTTAATTACTACAGGCGGTGGGGGTGGTATCTGTCGACCTGGTATCATATCCTTGGGATATGGTTCCAACAGCGTGACATTGAAGACATTGTGCACCTTCATTGCTGGAGGTAGATCTAATTCGAAAGCATTTTTTCCAACTTTCCTTATGATCTTGAATGGGCCAATGTATTTTGCTTCTAGTTTTCGACTGGGTCGTTCCGTCGTAAGATACTTTGTACTTAGTAGTACCTGTTCTCCCTTTCTGAATTCTTCTGGTATGCTCTTGTGTCTCCTGTTGTAGTACTCTGCACTAATTTCATTCGCCATCCTGACCTGTTCTTGAACAGTCGCATGCAACTCTCCCATATCTCTCCATTTCTTCTCCAACTTGTTTGACTTTGATCGAATATCGTGCGAATGGATGTCGTAGTGTGGCACATAGCCGTAACAAGCTTCAAAAGGACACAGACCGTGGCTACTATGTGGCGAACAGTTATAAGCGAACTCAGCAATTGGTAGAAGTTGATCCCAATTGTCCATGTTGTAGTTTACATACATTCCAAGCAGGATTTCCATCTGTTGATTTACTCGCTCAGTCTGTCCATCTGTTTGAGGGTGATACGCAGTCGAATATAAGTTCTTTATTCCCAAGAACTGACATATTTCCTTCCAAATTTCCGCTGTAAACTGAGTTCCCCTATCTGATACAATTGTTCGAGGTACTCCATGTTTTGAAAAGATCTCCTTGATGTAGATGTCGGCCACTTTGTTCGCTGTTAGTCCAGTTGTACATGGAATGAATCTAGCCATCTTGGTTAGTCGATCGACTATCACTAGTATCGCGTCGAACTCGGTCGATTTTGGCAGGGGTCCCACCATATCCATAGAGATATCTGTCCAGGGGAGTGTGGGTACTGGTAAAGAGACTAGATGTCCATACGGCTGATGTCGATGAGTCTTATGTCGGTTACAGATCTCGCATCCTTTTACGTATTTGGCAATATATTCGTCCAAATGTGGCCAGTAATAGTCCTCTTTGACCATGGTGATAGTTTTGTCTCTTCCTGGATGACCTACTAGTATCGAATCGTGTCTTGCTTTCATTACTTCTAACCTTGCTTGTCCCTCTGGTATGACTACTCTATTCTTGTACAAGAGCAATCCGCTTTGAGTCCATGATACCACCGGTGCCTCGTTGCTAATCTGTGTCTTCTGTGTGTCCTGTGTGCTATGTGTCTGTGTGTCCTGTGTACTATGTGTCTGTGTGTCCTGTGTACTATGTGTCTGTGTCAATTGCAGTCCTAGTCGTCGTATGTTTGCTATGTCTTCTGAGTCTTTGAGTCCGTTTTTGATGAGTCCAAATAATGAGTCTTCTCGGATTGCTCCTCTTACTATGTGTCGGGTTTCTGAGTCTATCGAATTCGATCCATGTTTCTCGTATGTGGGTAGTAATTGTAGCCAGTTTCCTTTGTTTAGATCTGGGTCCTTACTACTTCCTTTTCCCGGGTGATAATCCCCTCGTCTTGTTAAAGCATCTGCTCCCCCATTTTTGCTACCTGGTCGATAAGTGATCTCTATGTTGAAGTCTCCTAAGATTTCCAGCCACCTCATTTGTCTTCGATTCAGTTGTCGCTTACTTTGGAAGTACTCCAGGTTCTTGTGATCCGTAATGACTTTTATGACATCACTACTGTTCGCTAAGTAAGGTCTCCATGCTACCAAGCAGTCCACAATGGCTAGTAGTTCCTTCTCTCCCACTGTGTAGTTTGATTCGCAGGGTGTCATTGCTCGAGACCAATACGCAACCGGATGAAGTTCCGTGGTCCCTTTTATCGATGGATGAGGGAACCTTTGGGACGCTATTGCACCTATCGCACAGTCAGATCCATCGGTTTCGATCCAGGTTGGTCGGGTTCTATCGAAATGTCGAAGTACCGGTGCTGTCGTGAAAGTTTTCTTCAAATTTTCAAAAGCTTTTTGACATTCCTCTGTCCAATTCCAAGCCTGATCCTTCCTGGTCAGACGGGTAAGAGGACCCACAATATGTGAGAATCCTTTGATGAACCGTCGATAGAAATTGGCAAATCCTAGAAAAACCTGAGTATCTCGGACTGTCATTGGTTCTCCCCATTCTAGAATGGCTTTCACCTTGTCTTGATCCATTTCGATCCGTTCGTGTCCGATTACATACCCCAGAAACTTCACTTCGTCGCAACTCCATTCACACTTCCTCGGGCTAACAACCAAGTCGTTTTCAAGTAATCGGTCCAATACCTTTTGGACAATTATCTGATGGTTTTCGATCGTGTCTGAGTATACCGTGATGTCGTCTATGTAAACTACCACTCCTTCATCTAACAGGTCGTGGAACATATCCTGCAGGAAGTTTTGAAAGGTGGCTGGTGCGTTGCATAATCCATCCCGTAGAACAGTGCTTTCAAAACTACCGTATCGTGTTCGTAGAGCAGCTTTATGTTCATCTCCTTCTTTTATTCGAACTAACTGATAGGCCCCTTTCAGGTCGAGTTTGGTAAACACCTTTCCCAATTGAAGTCGATCGAGTAAGGTCGAGATAAGTGGCATTGGGTACGAATCCTTGATGGTTACCTTGTTAAGTGCCCGGTAATCTGTAACTACTCGATAGGGAATGACTCCTTTCTTGGGGACCAGGAATACTGGGGACCCATAGGGCGATTTACTTCTTCGCAGATGTCCACTAGTCAGTCCATCATTGATCCACTGCTTCAGGAAAGCATCCCCATGCTCGTCCAGTTGGTAGATTGGTCCTGGTTTCAGTTCAGCCCCTGATACTAATTCGATTTCGTGGTCACATTCTCTTCTTGGTGGTAGTCTTCTTGCTCTTTCTACCTTGAATAATTCGAGGTACTGGTGCCATTGTGTCGGTATGATTTGTCGTAGTTCCGCCTCACTCATTTCGTCTTCCCCTTTCTCCAGTGTTGCTCCTCTTATTAATCCTTCTTCTAATCTTGGGTATTTCCAACCAGTATCTCGTTCAATTCCGTCGAATTCGATCAGTCCCTTTCCACAATCGATCCTTGCCCTAAACTGTCTCAAGAAATCTAGTCCTACTAGTACTTCTGGTCCTTCGTATGCCATAACATCCAGTCGAGTTGCAATCCTGAGTCCTTTTCCTAGATCTAATTCTGCTTCTACATATTCGGTCACTAAGGTCGCGGTAGTTCCATCCAGGAACCTAATTTTTCGTGGTACCTGATATTGTTTCTTTGGGAATAGATGGTATAATGGACAGGCCGGCTGCACATACCTTCCTGTAGCCCCGGTATCGATTAACATTCCAATCTGTAGGGTATCTTTCTTTGTTTGTATTTTTATATATATTATGGCCGAGTCATTACTGAGATCTATTGGTATTTGAATTTTCTGCGATCCGGGCAGATCCTGGCCGCAAGTGGTCGCATCACTTAGGCCAGGTAGTCGTTTCCCTCTTCTTCAAAGGTCACCGCCATTCCTCGAACTAATGGCCCTTTGGATCCAGTTGGGATCGAGTTCGATCCACTAGGAATCGGTGAGCTATGCGGGTTTGGGGATCCCCTAATGTTGTTTCTCGTATTTCCTCCATTTGGACAGTTGTTGGCGTAATGTTCTGGACTTCTACATTTGAGACAACGTCGGTTCTCCCTCCTCCAAGTCATTTCGTTCTCGCTGAGACGTCCTCCGTCCTCTGTCCAAGTGACCGGAGGGTCATTTGGTAGACCATGATTCATCATCCCTGGTTTTCCACCGGGCAAGGGTCCTCTACCAGTCGATTGTGAGTGGCGCTCTACCGGGTTGGGCAAACTAGTATCCAATCGCATCGAATTCGATCGAGGGGGAAGCCAGGTCGTCTCATGTTTGCGTCTAGCAGCCCATCGATTCGCTGCAATCATCGTTTCAGCCATCCGTTGGTTCTCCTCAGTCCCTATCACATGCTGTTTGAAATAGATCCAGTCCGATTTGGTTCGAGGGTCGGTGTTATTTACCACTACCACCTTCAGTAGCTCTTCCTTCAGGCCCTGTATGGCTGAGGCGATTTTCATTGCATCTGGTACCTTTCCAAGGTGTGTGGACCAAAGTTCAAAGTTGGCAAAATACTCGGCGGCCGTATCCGTCTGTCTTAACTCCTGCAATTTCCTCATAGCCGTACCTGCCATGTTACTGTCTCCAAATTGAGTTCGTAAATGCTGGATGAATTTGTCGTAGCTCTCTAGCCATTCGGTCGAATTCCATATACTTGGATTGGTTATGGCCGGGGTTATAAGCATTTGAGGGGTGCCTCGAAGATACCCGTACATGAACAGGATCTTTCTGCGATCGGTGGCGTACTCTGCCCCTTTGAATTCGAAGTTCATGTGACATGCTGCAAGGAAGTTGTCCAATTCTCCTCGTTCTCCACTGAAGGTAGGTGGATCCGCACACCTGGTTCTTCCTGTTCGTTCGTTGTTGGTAAGTTTTGGCTCCAAACACGGCTTGTTTTCTTCGACTTCGATCAAACTTGCCTCTTTCGATGTGAGTATCTGTTGGTTCTGTCGGTCAGCTTTCATCGTAGCCAGTTCTTCCCTTAATGCATTTTGTTCTTTCTGTTGCATCGTCATAATGGCTAACAATTGTGACAACTGCTGCGATAATTCATTTAGCGGATCTGGGGTAGTGGTAGTAGAAGTGAGATCATGTGAAATGGTACTTCTCGAAGAACTTGTTGGTATTTCTTCCTCTGGGACCAGCCCTTGTTCCAACTCCTCTTTTTCTGGTATCATTTTCCGCGCTTTCCCTCTGGTGAGCATACAGTACTCTCCGATTCGACCCAAGGTGCGTAAGGCTGATTCTTCAACTTGTAACGGTACTGGAAACACGACGACTAGGTCGCAGGTTGGGTCGAACTCGATGGAGGTCTCGTGGAAATCTAGGGGCTCTGGTGCTAATGGATCGTGTCTCCTCTGCAATCGATGTAGCCAACGAATGATATTGAAGAATCAGCAAAGTTGGTACTTTGCTGATTGTACTATATACTGTCTACAGGTATCCGTCTCCTCTTCTCAGTCCTACTGCAAGCGTCCATGTACATACTCGGACAGGTGAAAAACCGCTTTGAGCAAACCCAGTGGGGAAAATCTCGAAAGGGGAAAACCCGTCCCTACCTACTGCAGCACTGCCTCCAACTCCCGCTTTCCTCTGTCCTAATCCGTCGAACTCGATAGAGTCCTCTCGATTCGTTGTTACCCCGTAACAAGTTTCTATCGATAAAACAAGTAGTAAGTAAGCACAGTCAAGAGCCTAATTGATTATTAGATACAATTTTCGACGGATATCAAAGTAGAAAACAAATTGAGGATTGCTTCAGTGCTTACGTCTCTCGAAATACCGAGCAAGGCCTCCGTGACGCTGTTGCTCACGCTCTAGGCCTGTACGTGCTCTACCGGGGCGATAACCAACGAGGCATGGAACTTTCAGATTTGGCGTACACTGTGTGGGATAACGAGGGACCAACACCCATGTTAGTTGTTGTGTGCGTTAGTAGACGTGGAAAAGTCAACAAGCATGGCAAAGTAGAGTATTCGGGGTTAATACGCAACAAAGACGTTTTCATGTGTCCTGTGGGGATCTTAGCAGTTTACTTGTTTGCTCGGTGAGTGAATGTCAGCCGACGTCGGCCGACGTCGGTTTAGCTAAACTAATATGCGTGTTAATTCACTTAGATTTCAGGCCGGCAGCCTTGGAGACAATGGATTTCCCAACCTTGCTTCTCGTGAGACGTGGTACAACGATAAACTCCTCCAACATTCAATATATTCTCGTACAGATCAACTCACGTATAAAGCACAATATGATTCAATTACTCAGGCTCTTAAAAGCGCTCAAGTTAATACGGGAAAGAAGACACATATCAATAGAGCCGGAGGAGCTCAGCTCGCAGAAAGTGAAGGTGTATCAGCTCAAGATATTGCGCGTGCAGGCCATTGGAATCAAGATGTTTTGGAAAATGTCTACTTGGGTCATATGCCTCGTTCAGTATTACGTGCATTGGCCGGGTTTAAGCCTTATGGAAGCCAAGACTATTACCTTCCGCGTGATATTCCTGTACCGGACACTTTACAGAGAATGGTATTTCCTTCTCTTGAAAAATGGTAAGCAAACCTCGTTTGTAAACGCATTGCTCATGTAAAGGGAACTGGATCTTTCCTTACGACAAGGTGACGCTATAGACAGACAGGCTATGACGTTTGTTCAGCTTTTGAAACACCTTCGTAAGGTATTTTTTCAAGACATCTGCGCCTGGCGTCAAAAATACCCAGAGCTGTACCTTTGGTCGCATTCCCTGTTTCAAAATGACGAATTCAAGCAATGGGAAGCTTGTTATTTTGACACATGCTCTCTTCGTACGAATAGTCACGATCGTAGGCTAGCTGAAGCCATGCCACAACTTGCATCAACTCTCTCGGCGCATTTCATGAAGCAAACACAAGATAGTACCGAAATTCATTATAAATTGTCGTCTTTGATCACAACCGCTCAAAATCAAGACGTATCATTGAACCTTAACCAGCAGCAGCTGTCTCGGATCCTTGTCGCTTTAAGCCAGCCGATTATTTTACCTAGTATTCTTCAAGGAACTGGAATTACGGCAGGTGAAACACCCGTGCAATCAGAAACAACATCTCGCGCCCTGCAACCAACGGTACTGCTTGAAAACATTCCTACATCAAGTACAGCAGCAGAAGGTACAGCTTCACCTCTATTGACCGTAGTAAATCAACCTCGAGCTGTCTTGACGCCTTTCAGCCTGCTACGGACTTTACGGACCGTAAATCAAGTTTGGGAAGAATATAACACCGGCTTAAACGGCAAACCGTCTGCTAAAATGATGTACGAGAATCCTCAGCATCATTGGGGCGTTGGCGGTGACACAGAGCGGAGGTTTTGGAACCGACGTCTAGTCATTATTAATCAGATCAAGTTAATGGCTCAGACACGATCAATTACGGAAGACGAAGCTGCTAGGGATCTTGATGCGTTTCGTGTTCGACAGCGTCCTTCGTCGCTTAATGCTTTACATGACACACTGAAAGGTATGTCTGAGAGTGAAAAATTACGCCTCTAAAGCTATAACAATGACAAAAAACCGACGTCGGCCGACGTCGGCCAATGATGGTTTGTTGCGACCATAGTCACCCTCAAAGGATAGTTTCAAACTGTTTCATTGCAATCCCGAGCAACAAACATTGCAGGGCGTAGTTGGTTGAACAATTTTCTACGCAGACAGTGTAAACAAGTGTACACACAACAAGGATGTATTAAGTGTATTGTCGTGAATCTTAACCCACTATTTTCCACCTTTCTTCGTTAATTGAAACTTAGCTATAGCATCAAAATGTCGGATACACCACCTTCTTCCAAAGTACCTCCTCCCACGCCAAAGCGGTACGCAAACAAGGGAAGTCGTCGCAACAACACCTCTCCAGAAAAGGGAGGACAAGCAGTCGATGAATTTTTTTCAACAACAATATTGAGTACGTTAGAAGCTTTTTTTGAGTCATTGACAGTATCTAATTAGTAGGTGCGTATGAACCGTTCTCATGGGTGCCGGGAACGAAATTTGATCGTCGTATTTTTCCTCAGGATAGCTCAAAGACATTGGCTTTACTGCCAAACACCTTGAAAGGCGAAGTGTGGGCTATACCAGCGAATAAAGAGTTAGAAATAGTGAGCTTGAACTTCTTATGTTAAAACTCGACCAGAACAATACTAATCAATGAAATTAGGTTAAGCGTCACCGTCTGGCGCACAACATCGTGTGTGGCCCCAATCTATCATTCGTTCCGGCGTGGCAATGTGTTCACATTGCCAAAATCGAATAAATCGTGAGGATGCCGTATCCTTCGGTTGCATAACCGTCAGTGAGAAAGCACAATCAAGCTGTGCTGAGTGCCGTGCAAGAGGAACGAGCAATTGTGATTTTGGGAAGAATGTATTAGAAGAAGAAATTCTAGATGCGTCATTGGCCTCTAACCTTGTTGCCAAGCTCGAAGGATTAGAAGCAATTGTCAGTGGCTTTGGTAAGTACCAGTTAACAATTGTGTGTGCTATGCTAAATGAAAAGCGACCATTGATACCCCGATTCCACCTCAGGTCATTTTGTCGGCTTTGGGTCCCCTTACTCGGGACGGGCGTGCACTTGTTCAGCAGCTTAACGCTGCAGTAGCTGCTAATGTGTTGGACACCGACGATCCTTCCTCACGTCGTCGCCGTACCGCGGTTACCCTTCTTCCCTCGCCGGTGTTGGAACACGGACAACTTACAGGACTCAGTGCGGGCTGGAACGATGAAGGTATGTTTTTTATCACTCATTATTGTGTACAGCACTGACATTAGATATCACGATGGATGACGCTGCAAATAGACAGCTGAATACCGCTCCTGCTGCTGCGGCTGCTACCTCTGGTCCTGCGCGGAACTTACGATCGCAACGCAAACATTCTCAGACTTTTGAACAACGTCTTCGATCTGCTCAAGGCTCCGGAAAGCGAGGGAAGTCTCGTCAGATTTCAGAAAGTAGTCGCTTGTCCACTCCCAACGATTTAGATCGTCAAACGTCGAACGCGAGTGGATCAGGTGCCGGGGTGTCAGACAAGGATACGCATGGCCATGATCAAACCATGTTAGAGGAGTTGGATGAAGATGGGGGTTAACTTTGTAGCAAATAGTTGATCAATGTATGCACATGCCATGACTGTCTCATCATTACATGCAAAGGTCGAAGACTTTCAGTAATTGCATGAAGCAAACAATGTTGATTGTTGAAATCGAAAGTCAATCGTAAAAAGCGATCGTAGGCCGACGTCGGCCGACGCCGGCTCACGTGGCACGGAAGATTTGGTTACACCGGACGGGCCCGGACGGCCCATATGGACCCCGTCCGGTCCCTATTGGCCCTGAGGTCGTGTAACCATTAGTTACTGATCCAGATGAGCCCACAGGGATGGAGAGGAAAGGGAGTTGTGAGCTAAAGTGATTAGTGCGATGATAGTACTCTACAGGTTTTAGTAGTGAGTGTGCGAGTACCCTACTCGTAGTCTATAATACCTGTCATATCAACAAGTGGAGGTATACATAGCCTATAGTTGGTTGTGTGAGGGGAAAGGAGGTAGCGAAGCGAAGCGAAGAAAGGGAGGAGGGGAGGGGAGGGTAAGAAGGGAAGAGGGGAAGGAAAAGGGAAGGAAGGAAGACGTGTTTCAACCCGTGGGATTAGCGTGTTTCATCTTAGTGTACTCTGTGACCCTGCGCTAAAGTGATCGGAAAGAATAGATGATGTCATACATCGGAATGGTCTAATTTCTACTTTACTCTACCGGCGACACGTGGGACAGATAGCAAGACAACGACACTCTGGACAAACATGGTGGTACACGAGATATGTTAGATGTGGATGACGATAGATGATCAAGTGAATGAGATAGGGCATGTTGGCAGGGATGAAGTGTACAAAAAGATGCCAGAGAGGAGGAGAGAGGAAAAGGTAAAATGGTTCACAAGAGTAAGTCATATCCTACCCCACAACCTTCTCAAAGCATACCATCTAGATCCCATCATAGCTATAGCACCGACTAACACTGTGATTCCAGCGAAATACGATACACCTTTTAGACCACTTTGTTTCAACAATGCACCAGAGACAGGTGGTCCTATTAAACATCCTAGAGAAGTGAGGGAGAGTATCATTCCTACTCTTCGTCCAAGGTCCGAGTGCTAGCTATCAACAAATGATTCAATTTAAACATGTTATCATCCTATGAGAATAGGGGGATATCGAATAAACTCACATCACCTAATTGTGAAACGCTAGGACCTAATAATGAAACGTACATTCCTTGAAAACAACCGTTGAAAACTGCTATAGCCGTTAAACTTGGACCAGTGGTGGAATATGGCCAAGCGAAAGTCTGAATGTCAACAAAGTGACTTACTCCAGAAGGTTACTCGAGAAGGGATCAATCAACTATCGAAGGGGACAAGAAAATATGATAATTTAAACTGAAGATTAATGTTGAACTCACAGTTGCCATACTACCCAATAAACCAGGAATCAACAAATTTATAGGTCCAACTCTATCCGCAATTAAAGCAGGTAATAATCTTCCTGCTAAACTACCTGCATTCGCAACAGCAACCAAGTAACTTGAATATTCACCAAGACCTATGGAAGTACCGGTAATGTCGATATATGACAAAGGTGTGTAAAGACCTAAAGCTATGAGGAAGGCTGCTATGGAGAAGAGGGCGTAGGGGGGTGAACGGAAGGCTTGAGGGTTGATGAGTGGTCCTTGGATTGGTTTTGGTGGGAGGCGGGAACGTAGCGTCTGTATGTTAGATTGGGGTGAGTGTGAGCGTGAGTGTTGCATTGTTGGATCCACTTGGGTGGGAAGCGGGGGAGGTGGGTGGGGGGAGAGGTGATGGTCTAGTGGGATAAAGAGGAAGAAAATGAATAATAAGACAAAGATCACGAGGTGATTAGGTGAAAGAGGAGATAAGAAAAGCTCACGGCAGAAGCGAATACAGTACAATATAAAATTATAAATCCACAAATTCTCATAGTCCATCGGAATCTGATATCAATATATAACCTCCAGATCACTCGAGTGAATTTGCTTATAACAGGTGTATCACCAATTGAACTTTTTTTCAAACACACAAATACATTTGGGGAGGGACGAAGGGACTAAGCGTCTCCGTAACACAACCCCACGATACCCACGAGGAAAAGGGGAGAAGAGAAATCGAAGAGAAGAAGAGAAGGGGAAATACAAAAGGAGAGAAGGGAAGAAGAAGTGTGTTCCAAACAAACAACACACACAAAAGATCGTAAGGGGTTGTATGGAGAAACGAATCAATAATCAACTCACCCGACACGAGGTATAGCATTCTTCACCAAAACAGGAAAAACAACACCTCCGATACTACCCGCAGCTGTACAAATACCTAAAGCTAATGCACGTTTACGATGAAACCAATGTCCAATAACTGGGAAAACTGGACAAAATAATATACCTCCAGATATTCCCTTATGATCAGTAAATGATTTTTTGTTCGTTGGTTTCACGACTTCATTTCTTCATGATTTGACTTTCAGACCTCCCTTCTGTAACACAGGTTGGAGTTGTGAAAAAGAGATTTCATTTCATGGGGATCTTTGATCGAAATGAGATTAAAAGAGAACAGTGTGGATGTGATAATTTGGGCATCGAAAAGAGAATGGAAGGTGTATGGGAGGGGTATTCGGGATTGAAAAGAGAATGGGAAGAATATCGTATGGGCTTGGTGCATTTTCCGAGTCGAAACAGAAGTAATGATTGACAGTGTGATGGTGTGAACTCACAAACAAAATTCCTTGACATAAAATAGCTTGCCAATATTGTTTAACCTCAGCGTTCACTATCAAAGCCACTGGATATATGATAGCCGCGATGTAAAAAGGTTTATAAAAAGTACTTGAATCGACTAGACGACCCATGAATAATCCTGGGAAGTAGATTAAGAGATATTGTAGTGAACCTATCCATGCTCTGTTTATTAGATTTTGGACCATGTCTATTGCTTTGCTTATTTTTTACCGTTCCGGACGCGAGGTGATAATGAGAAGAGAAGGATGGGCTTGGAGGGGACGTGATATTTTGTCATTGCGAATGTCATATCGTTTCTGTCTCGAGGTGATAATGAACAGAGAAGGATGGGCTGAAGGGATCATACATATCACGAGGGAAGATGAGTGAATCGGATGGACCAGGATGATATGACCGGCAAATGAAACAACGGTTCTCCCGAGGATTTAGGTCTAGGATGAGGAAGACGGAGATGGTTCAGAGGTTGTTTTAGTGCTGTGGGGACAGAGCTCGGAAAGGATAGATTAGAAGAGTAAAAATGAACTTACATAGCTGAAGATGATTGTTCTGGGAATAATGTATCTTCGTAATATTGTTGAAAGATACCCCAAGAGTTCTACCAATCAGCATTCAAGAGTCCCATTTATTTATCCCAGATGACAGTTCTGAACTAAACCCAGACTTTTCCTCAGTCCAATAGACCTATCAAAGCAACTCGTCCCATCAGACAAGCTTCCCCTCCAAATCACCAGACTGAAATAAGATCCATAAACTGTTATGTCTTTCCCCGACCCCATCTTCTCCTGCTTGGAAGGAAAGAGAATATGCGGGATGGAACAGGGAAGGTACTCCATGGAACGGGATGATTCACTGATAAGTGGGGAGAACAAGTGACGAATGAGGAAAGATAGATGATAAGAGTAAGACAGAATGATGAATCTGATGAGTAGCAAAAAAGACGAGGAAGACCAGAATACTACTCACTAAAAAACCAAAAGTACCGAAAACACAATGTGAAGCACCTAAAACAACCAACCAAGCTCTCCAACCACCTTCAGGAAAATCATATTCTTCTCCAACCAATTCCTCTGTCTCTTCTAATTTCTCACCATTCAAAAGAGATTTCTCTCTAGTCAAACGTCTTTCAATCTCATGAGCTTTCAATATCCTACTTTCAGTTCTGGAGGGGAATGAGAAATCGTCAGGTTCTTCTGACATTGTATGATTTTGTTTTTTGATAGAAGATGATTGTCCAATATTTCTATGATTCGAAGATTGTGAATCATCTGAATTTTCTCTTGTACGATCGGGATTTGTCATTTTGGGGCAAGGATTTTGTTCAATTATTTCTATTTGAGTTGAATCTTCTGATGATTTAGAGTATGAGGGGTGATGGACATCAGATGAATGATAAGATTTAAGAGATGAGTTTTCTTCTTTCACTGTACGAGTAGCTTGTTTCGTTGATGAAGGGTTGTACATTTTGGAAGAAAAAGGTCGTTCTGTATGTTTGACCTAGAGAACTGAGATAGAGATAGGAAATAAGATAGATGGGTGGTTCTCCAATTGTGTATTCATGGATGGATAACCTTATAGATCCCTTCGAGTCGAGGGTGCTTGTGAGATGCCGAAAAGCGTGGAGAATCGGCAAGATGCGCACTTCCGGACAGGATCGACTTCTCTCCGGTGGCACCAAGAGCAAAGTATAGGGGATAAGCGGGTATAAGAGTATATTTACAGGGGAGATGAGTAAAGTAGAGTAGAGTACAGTGGTGATAGTTTATTCCGATGACAAGATACACAGGGTGAGAAAGATATAGACTTTTTTCGGGAATCGCAGATCTGTAAATCCGTTATCTCCGTCAATCGGAGATTTCTTCGCGACTGATTTTTATTTTTCAACACTTAACTATGGAAAGCGGAAATACTTAACTTACTGTCTTACGGCCGAAAGTTGCAGTTAGAGCCCATGATGTGCATCGACGACTTTTATGAGAAAATACATTATGCATGATAACCTCAGAATGGGTCACAGTGTTCAGTATGGATGTGTGAACCTGGGTATAGATGCGTGGAATAAAGTATGTGCAAATGTGAGTTGGCTTCCCGTGTCATTCTCACACCTAGACAGTTCTCTTTCTCATCCTTCGTTGTTTGTGTCCTCGTTTCTATCATCAACTCCGTACCATGGTCTTTTGCTATCCGTCTGACAAGCGGAATCGCGAGAGCCACTAGCCACTTAAAGTGTGTAATTGGGACTGGATATGATACGGTTCGGTAAAAACGTGTCAAGAAGCCTGTGATAGTGGATGATTCTCGAAGTCCGCAGGGGGGACTCAATACTTGACAGTAACGAACAAAGAGGAAAGGGTCAATATATGTAAGAAGTGTAAAGAACAACAAGAACCAAGAATCACTAACCTTTCTTTTACACCCTTCAGCAGCCAAATACGATCCTCCTCCAAAACCTTTGGTACTAGTCGTTTCAATAGCTATGACTGCACTTTGTGAACGGGAACTACTACTTCCTTGAGAATCATGATCATGTTCAGTCACCGTGACAGTTGTCGTTGGTGGTCCTACAGGTGTAGGAACGTACATTGTTATTGTTGTTTCTTCTCCTCCCTGACTACTACTTCCTCCCCCACCACCACCACCACCTTGACTACTACTTCCTCCTCCTCCTCCTCCTCCTCCACCATGATCCCAACCACTCGAAGAAATACTAGCCGTAGGAACTCCACCACCTTGACTCACACTCTGAGTACTTGAAACCTGACCAAAATCATAAGAATGTGAACCGAAAGATTGTGAAGGTACCAAACTTCCAACACCTTTAGTAGGAGTAGCGACATATTGTCCTCTTATAGTTACTGGTGTAGGTACAGGTGGTAGAGAAAAAGTAGGACCAGAAGTTACTGAACTTGAACATGTTGCTGTATCTGAAGAATATTTATCAGATGGTTCTGAGGAACCTACGTAATCGGATTGATTCGGACAGAATTCTACTGTGTAATCGGATAGTGTAGATGAAGATGGACATGTCCATAATGCTGTACCTGTTTTTTCACTTTTGGTCAGCTTCACTAATGTTCTTCTCACTCATCTTCATTCTCATAAGATGTTATGATTCTATCTCCATTGAGGACAGATATTTCCTCCCCAACAACATCCTAGGGCTTCTGGTATAACATAGCCTCTCTCATCATTTCTCCACACCTAATCCTCGTCTATCTTTCACAAAGGGGACACTTGAAAGGGGAGGTACAAGAGGCTTGTCACACAAAGTAAGGGGTCGAATGGGTGGGAAGGTACAGGAGGGCTCTCACACAAAGTAAGAGGACAAGTGGGTCGGGAGTTACAGGAGAGTTGGTCCGAATGGAAGAGTGAGAGCTAGTAGTGATATCAGAGGCTCGGAAGACTCACTCGTAGGCGTACTATCTCATTAGCGACATGATCACTTTGAGAAGTGAAATGATAGCTCACACCATAAGCCATAGGACAATTATCCTTGAAAACGTGATAATAATCTACTCCACAGATAGCGCATAAAGTAGGATCGTTGTATCCACCTGACATCAGTCAATGTCAGAAATCTTACCATCCCACGCGACTGGTACTTCCCATGATAGACAGATCTATGAATCAAGATTCCCTGCTTGGCCTCTATTTGTTGCCACACCAACATTTATAGAGAATGTATAAGAATCTTTTGGCAAATCAAACCACCCATACCAGGGGAGTTCCTCTGATGGAAAAAGCAGTCCGACGGGAAAGCGGAATTAGAAAGAGGATTGCAAGAGCAATACCGAAGTTCAGGAGACAAGAGATATCTGGACATATGTGGAATGACAGAAAAGAAAGAAAATTTATCAACTAAGGACTAGGTAGTGAGAAATTTTGATGATATTTCTGACGGTGTCGGATGAAAGGTTTTGGGAGGAATGAAACTCACCTGAACAACATGCTCTATTCCCATATAATTCACCACCTAAACCAACATCACAAGCACTCATACAACCTAAATTCAAACCGTTCGAATCTAATCCTGATCTCAATATGGAAGGACATAAAGCGTTGATGTTGATTTGACATTGTGGTGCTGGACAAGAAGTGACCGAAGGGTATATGTTAAGTGGGACGTTGAATCCGTCTACTAAGGAGATATCGTAGTTGTCTACACCTGATGGGGAGAGAGTGAATTCGGCTATAATATCAGATACTGTCTCTTTTGCTGTACATCTGTTAAAAACGAGTATCGTATGGACCGTCATCTATGTTGAATGGGAGGGAGGAACGTAGGTGGAGGTAGTCTAAGTACATGGGAGTGGTTATTGTGGAAGGAAATGGAAAGGAGGTCAGTTTGGGATGAGGTTCTCTACGGCCAAGTGCATTGTCCCGAAAGGTGGCAGGGATTCGTGCTGGGGTTTCACGGTCTTTCTGACATACAGGTGGAGGAGAGTAGGGAAGGGTGGGGAGCGCTTGGAGTGGAGAAAGTATTGGAGAAAGGATGAAAGATGTTAGGTACGTAGGACTTAGAAGTCATGGAGTGAAGCGAACTTACCGAGCGTTGCGGGAGGTGCACCGGTTGCAGAACTGTTAACAATCAGTCCATGCCATATCTACCATTCCGATTCTTCTCTGCCAGTCGTAGTGAAAGTGCCTCTACCTGATAAATACTCAGGAGGCAGTGGAAAAGATGGTGGACCAGACGGATGAGGAGGAGAAAAAGTCATGTCAAGAGAGATGGGTGATGATTGACGATTGATAGGCGGACAATGATGGTAGTCAAGTTACTTCCAGAGAACGGAACAATCGGCCAGGTTATTACTCCCTCTTCCTCTCAAACGTCCTTGACAAAAAGTACACCCGATATAACCCTTGTGAAGAGAGGAACGAAAACTTACCAAGTCAAATTCCCTCCTGTTCCTACCCCACATCCACCTGTCAAACAAGTTAACCCTTGAGGACCTTGCACACATCCCGTTCTCGCCCATACTCTACCCGAAGTCCATCCGTCATCAACTTGGAATTGTGTAGAATTACCAGGAGAAAGTTCCCATCCGGTAGTCTGAGATGGAATGACTGAACCTCCTGTGAATAATGCTGGCCAGAGGGTTGTACCACATGAATTTTTGACAGTTATTTGACGTGCCTGAACGGGAGTATAGAATAGGAGGAGTAGTGGTAGTAAGAGATTTAGAAGAAACATGTTGTAAGTGATACCAGACCGGAAGTTCCTTTCGATACGTTGTCTTACCGGTATCTGGCTGAGGAGAAGAGAGAAGAACGAATAGATGTCTGGAGGGAAGATGAGTTGGTGATGGTTTCCGTCAGAGGAAAACGAGTAAGTACTCCGGCGTCGAGAAGTCTTCTGGATGGGGAAGAAGGGTAGAGGATGGTCTTTGGCAGAGAAAGAGAGTAAGGTGAATGATGAGATGCAGGATTAAAGTGGGAAGAAAGAGTAAGAAAGAGGTCAAAGAGTAAGGAGAGGAGAACAAGTCCAGATCACCGCCAGGGGGATCGTCGTAGAAATAGAAGATTGGATGATCTCCTTGGAAGGAACATCCATTGAATGAGTAAAGAGCGTACGAATGGTAGTCCTGCTACCTAATTCTAAAGGTACCTATAAGCTTGAGGATAGTCCTGCTATTCCTTGATGCTTTATTTTGAAAGTAAGAAACAAGTCTAAAGAGTTATGAGTAACAAGCAGAGGAATGATATCAATTGTCACCCATGTTCAAAACCTCTTACCCTCTCACATGGTAAAGGAAGGTCAGATTCGAAAGGATATGAAACATCTGATGCGTGTTAGAACACCTGGTCGTTCCGTATATGTCATAGGAATGAAAGGGGGTGTGTCATACATGGAATGTAAGAGAAGGTATGAAAGGGAAGAGTGAAAGTGGCACTGCCAAACTGTGAAACTGCCACATTGCCACATTGGTTGTTGGGTTGTTGGGTTCGACTAAATCGCCACATCGGTAATTCACGGGAATAAAGATTTGACGCTCCGTCATTCAAAGGGGGTGAAAAGATGACAAATGACGTATCGTAGACGTCATTGACACTTTCTAACATCCACCTTTCCTTTTGAGAGATCGAAACGAAATCGTCATCGATAAACCAGACCAGCTGTCAAGCCATCGTCGTCACCGCCACATTGACAATCGATACCTCTCCCTTGGCCCTTGGGGGGATCCGTCTCAGACAGAGTTTGCAGGATTACACCGGTGAAAAGGAGCGAAACCCTTCCGTTGGCCGTTGGGTCTTCCATTAAAAACCTTGTAAGATTGACATCCCTCATCCACCTTATCAACTTGTCCACCATCCATCTATCTAATGGCCATCTAAATATGCATTCCATTATGGTTATTCGTATTTCCATACTTGGATATGTACTATCGTTATGACATTTGAATTCATCAACTAACGACATTCTTTTCATTCACTCGCCACTACTCCACTCTTACTACCTCATCTGTCATGTTTACCTTTCCATCGATATCCCCTTCTATCTCATTCTCCACAATGTCACCCTTCATCTCACAGAACAGACCACTTTTGTACATAGTTCTTTACGAACACGATCGACCTTGTTAGATTATAATTGCCACCGAGAATATTATATCATCCTCGTTTGACCCAGCCGTCACCCTATCTCAACTGTCATCGTCATGGCCGCTGTCGCTCATCCTCCTCCTATCCCAGGTCCTACCGGTACGTCATTTAACTTTTCACTTTCTCTCTTTCATTCTTTCTCTCCCTAACCCCTCTCCTCCCCCTCCCTCCGCCTCTCTGTTTATAGATTATACATCATAGATCATAGAACCACTATCGTCCAAGCTCTCTCTCTACAGTCAGAACGGTAGCTAGTAGCTAACACTTCAGGTCCCACAACGCGTCCCAACAGCGGTGCAAGTGTAACCAGCAACCCTCGTCGAGACGTCCCTCCTGTAATCAAGGACGAACCTCTCGTCTCGACTCGAAAGCACAAAGAGAATGGTGAGTTATTCCCACATTCTCAGACTTATCTCAACTTTCTCACCCTCTTCAACCACATACTCCTCCATCGCCTCCCTCCTCAAAGCTTCTAAACGCCTTCTACCTCCACTTCACTGCTCAGCTCCAGACGCTCCTCTTCCTCCCTCCTTTCATACCATGGTATCTGTCTTCAGATATGGTAAAAAGGACGTCTCATCACCCTCACACCTCCACCAACGCCGCTCACTTCCTACAAGTCTTGAGCCCCCTCAAACCTCTTCTTCCCCCCCTCTCCCCGCTACGTCACTTCAGGGGTCATCATTCTTCATCTTTGCGTCTCATCTGATCATTTGTCTTTTTTTATCTGATCAACCCCGCCGACACAATGCTGACAAGTGTCTTCCTTACACCACGTCCCTCATATGACGCATTACCTCGTTCTCCTAAAACTCCCGGTGCGGCATTACCAAAACTTCCACTTCCTCGACGATTCACCTCCCGACCTTCGCCACTGAATCCATCTGCTTCTCCTGAATTACGTCCACGAACACACGAACGACCCACCTCCCGACCTTCGCCACTGAATCCATCTGCTTCTCCTGAATTACGTCCACGAACACACGAACGACCCATGAAATCAGGCCAATCACCCGCCCAACGAAAATTGTCACTGGGAGCAGCGGCGCAATCTCCCGAGGGAAATCCTGACGGTCCTCAACGACCTCCTATCCGACCAGTCGTGGGGCAAAAATCCTCTCGGTTTGATCTGGAACCGAATCCTTTTGAACAGTCTTTTTCCAACCCACCGAATAAAGACGCACGTGACGGTACTCCTCCCAGAGGAGGTGAAGCTACAAGCCTCAAGCATAACGCTCTTCCACCTTTAGCTTCTCTTACCTCTCCAGCAGCTGCAGATCCTCTGCAATTCCCCTGGTTGGCAAATCAGTCACTTCGAACCGGTCCTTTGAGTCCTGCCATGCTCGCCGGTCCTCAGCCGTCCAGCGGGAACGACGTACCTCCTCATCATTCTTCTAATTTACGCGAGGGCAATGGTGGGAATCCAGAACCATTCGATACTCCTTTCAGAACCGGGTTTACCCCTGGTACAGGTAGTGGTTTTACTCCTGGTTATACCTCCCTCATGGCTGGTAATTTCGCATCTTCTCTTCCAATGCCAAGTCCCAATACCGCGGCATTCCTCAACATGGTTACGAACGGTACTCCCATCGAGGGTCACGCAGGAGGACAAGAATCAAGCACCACGTCGGATTCGCAGTCACATTCGCATGATCAACCACCTTCTGCCATTCCTCCACATATGCAGCCATCAGGTCATCCTCACGGATTGGCACATATCAACGCAAACCCCAATATGTCGCAGGAGACCATCACCCCAAACACTTTATCAGCTCTTACAGGTGTGTTTAACGATATGAATCGTTCCAATGCCCCTCCCTTCTATCCTCCGGCCGTGATGGGTCCTCCTGGACCTCCAGTCGCTCCTATTCATCCTCATGCACACCCACACCCGCCAGTGGATTACGCACAGCAGTCTGCAAACGCCGCTTCGCAAGCTGCCAACGGACTCTTTTTGTTGTCCCAAGCGCACCAGGAGTTGTCCAAGAGAGAAGAAGAAGGTAGGGGGGATAGAAGAACCTCTGTGGGTTCTACAACTAAGATGACGGGAACGAAAAGGAAGAGCGATACGGGTGTTGGAGGGCAGAAAGGTGCAAAGAGAGGAAAGAAAATGTCGGAACCTCTGAACAAAGAAGAAAGTACAAGTCCGACGTTTAGTTTCAGTGAGGATGATGAGAGAAAACCAGATGGACGTCCGGAGACGGAAGAAGAGAAGAGGAAAAACTTTTTGGAGAGGAACAGACAGGGTGGGTGTTTTTCCCTCTCATACATAATCACTTTTACATCTGACATCCCTTCATCATTTTCATGGCGAGTATCACCAAGTGAGCAGGACTGTCGCTGGACTACATGAACCAGTTTCTCCCGTCCTACGCTGTCATTTCACCATTCGATGTCAACTTGACTTAAGTGGTTCACACTTGACTTAAGACTTCACTATCGGGGTCAGGAGCACGTGACGTCCAAAAATACTAGGACGAGTCTCGCTGACCTCCAGCCGCCCTCAAATGTCGTCAAAGGAAGAAAGCGTGGCTTCACGAACTTCAAATCAAATGCGAAGCCCTAACTGTGGATAACGAACGACTGCAACAGACTATCGCAGGGTTACATGACGAAGTGTCTAGGTTGGGAAATATGTTGATGCAACATAGGGATTGTGGTTTAGGGATTCCGACGGGGTATGGGAGGATGGGGAGGTGATCAGTTGTCTTTACCACTCTGCCGTGTTTTATTCTCGTATTGATACTCCTCACCCAACTACCCACCCAAGCCTTCAGAACCCCCGTGGTCATTACCTTTAATGTCTTTTCTTCCCCCGACAAGTCTCTTCGTATCCATCCACCATTCCTCTTCATGTCGTTTCTCACTAGACTTCTCCACATCCTACCCTGCATCGATTACCCCTTTTCGATTTTCGACTTACACTTTTGGTCCTTATCTCCCAAGCAGACTTCGGATTTCGTCAAGCTATCAATCATCCGACGTCCCCGATATGAGATCCGCAATACCCTCTGTTATATCATTGTCTGTTCAGTTCTCACCTGTCTCGCTCGTCATGTGACCACCACTCCCCTCGCGAAAAGGTAACAATCACTTGGCCCTACCGCTTTCTTGTTCGCGAGAAGAGGATACGATGTTTACAACCAAATCGAGGTGAAGATGCGCAGATCACCTTCCCGCTCAATCAGGTATATAACGAAACACGGAACGACGTCGATCATCGAACGGGTTTATCGGATGATTGGTCATCTATCGAGAGAAGTGTCCAAATTCCGTCTCGGATCGTATTTTGTAGCTGATTGATCTTTTAGAAGTGGGATAAGTGGGAAGAGGATGTAAGAGGGGAAGAAAAATAAATATAGCTTTCATTCGTTTCTCTTTAGCATACACGTTTGGTTGAATTCGTATCATTATATTTCCGGGCTCTGAGCCAGAAGAACAGTAATTAAAATGTTTTCATGGCATGTATGAGTTTGGGACGTTTAGTTGTCTTTATAGCATCGTCAGGTAGTAGCACCTGGCATCAATCGGTGCGACTTGCGACTTCGTAGGTGTTCGGCTGATCACTCGCAAGCCTAACGTAGTTTTTGTTCGACAGCGACTTGCAACTTGATAATGGTATGGAAGGTGTTTGGTTGATTGCTCGGAAGCCTATCTGGTAGATGACTGATTTGTGCGGCTGCTGTGGTGGTGGACAATTGCTCTCTTTACTTAGTTTTAGCAGTGGGTGATTAGTGGCTTTAGAAGGAACTTAGTAATTCATCACTAAATCAGCACAATCACGAGTAAGTACCGGTAAACAAGTAAACTCCATAACCGGTCCATTCCCCCCTTGTCCCATCTCTGTTCTACTCTACACATCTACTCATCTCTCTTCCATACTTCCCTCTTTATCGACATACTCTACAAGTATACGTAAACTCGTATAGTCTCTCATAACGCTTCTTCACGCCAGAGATACTACTCCTTGTACCTTTTCATATCCATCCACACTTTGATCTCACACAACTCCTCTTCACTCATCCCACAACTTTCACTAGATTCCCATCTTTCAACGGTTATTCACGGAACGTTCATCGTCAAGATACCCCTAAGTGAGTAGGTGATCTTGCGAACATCGCTTGTCATACCTCACAAGCTTATCAAACTTCAACCACTTTATCTGTAGGTTGTAAAACTCAACAGATCACTTGTCGTGTGATAGACCACTGTTGAGGGGTTCAGGAACAAGATGTCAAATGTAGATTTGAAAGATCTTGTCGTTGTTATCACCGGAGCTGGGAGTGGGATCGGAAGAGTGTGAGCTTTACAGTTTCTCCTCCATCCCAGTTTGCGATGATCATCTCCGCTTCTGTTCGATGGTGAGAGATCCAAGCTATCTCTTGGTGTTCATTCAAGATGTTTGAAGGTATTCTGATCTTATTGATCATCTCATATTTCAGTCCTTCTCTTTCCACCGATTGATCAGATATTCTCAGGAGCAATCTCACCGTATCGTCTTATCGATATTGATCCAGGTAAACGTACATCTCCAAGGACGTATGCAAAATGTTTTGATCAATGATTTGCAGTAGCATCATGGGCGATAGTGACGATGGGCAGTAAAGCTGATATTCAGCTACGCCAGGTTCTTCTCTTCCAAAGGCGCTTGGGTGGTCGTTAATGATGTTTCGAAAGATGCATCTCAGGCTGTAGTGGATGAACTTGTCAAAGGTGAGTCTATCTCTACTTCTCATATTTTTTCAGTTAGAACTCTTTATCTTGTTCACTCTCCCTACTGAGCTTGTCCACTTCTGCTCATGCTCCCTACGTAAAGTCCATATTATGATTGTTCTACCACACCAACCTGGCTACCACGATGCACTGTGTCTCTCAGCAGACCTGTCCCGAAGACTCTCTACGTCTTACAACTGTCTTACCGTCGTCGACTTTCTCACTTGAGATTTCCCAGAGAGAGCGACGGACGATGTTGACTTTCAGCCGGAGGAAAGGCAGTAGCCGCACCGGGCTCCGTGGAGAAGGGACAAGATATCATCGACCAAGCTGTCAAAGCTTTTGGTACGGTCCATGTTCTGGTCAACAATGCTGGTATTCTTCGTGAGTACCAATGATCACCCGAGAATAACCCCTATGTCAACACCTGTCCCTTACAGCATCTCCGGAGCTACTCTGCTCGGTTTCCATTTTTCTAGTCTCCTCTCCTCCCGATTCCTGCTTCGATTGAAGTGCGACTGGAGGACGTCGTGCGACGCTGAAATGGCCCTCGCTGATGGCCAAGGCGATAGAGCTTTCAAGAACATGTCTGACCAAGATTGGGATCTCGTAACTTTGGTTCATCTCAAAGGAGCGTATTCCTGTACCAAAGCTTGTTGGCCACTCTTCCGTCAACAAAAGGTACGTATTATCCTGCTTCCGCTTCTCTCGTTGTTCCTTGGCTCCCATGCCCTGACCCGAAGGCCTTCACTCTGGGCACCGATGCTGTCAATTTAGTCATGATGCAGGCTGACAGACAGTTTGGTCGAGTCATCAACACCGCTTCGGCTGCCGGACTGTATGGTAACATGGGTCAAGCCAATTACTCCGCAGCAAAGAGTGTGTAGTTCACTTCTTTTATTGGCACTATCACCGCTGATATCCAGTGGGATTAGTCGGTTTCACACGAACTCTCGCAAGGGAGGGCGAAAAGTACAACATACGCACAAACGTTATCGTTCCAATGGCTGCCTCCGCAATGACCGAAACCATCATGCCTCCTGAAATGCTCAAGGGTCTAAAGCCGGAACATATCGCCCCTCTTGTCGGAGTCCTGACCGCTAAGAATGTACCTCTTCCTCCTCTTCTCGAAAGCGTTGCTGATGAGAAGGGTCCGGAGGTCAACGGAAGGATCTTCGAATTAGGTGCCGGGTTCTACTCTGAAGTCCGATGGGAACGGTCCAAGGGTAAGTCTAATCTGCTCAAGATCTATTCCACTGACATGGTAGGATACATCTGGCGAACAGACGATAGTTTCACTCCCTCAGCCGTTGCTGCGAAATGGAACGAAGTCCAAGATTTTACTAATCCCGAACATCCTGTCAACTCCGAAGATGGGGATATGATTGTGAGCTACCCAACTTGAGAGTTTATCCCACTGACATAAAGGGATGGTTGCAACAATCACAGTCTAAACCCACCAACGAACAAGGTTCTTCCGCAATTGATTTCAAAGGGAAAACGGCCATCATCACCGGAGCCGGCGCGGGATTGGGGAGAGCATATGCTATAATGTTTGGGAAATTGGGTGGGAATGTGGTCATTAACGATGTGAGTAAAGAAGGGGCCGAGAAAGTTGTCAAAGAGGTTGAAAGTGGTATGTTCATTCTTTCCACTCGCTTCTTTCCCCTCTCTTCTTCCCAAACTCTTCTTCCCAATTTCTTCTCTCCCTCTCTTCTTCCCACTCTTTCATTTTCACTCTCGTCTTTCCACTCTCTTATTCCCACTTTCTTCTTCTTCCATCCACTCAGTAGTGAATCCTCCAGATCCTGCGATATACGCCAATGTATTGACGGAGGGAACGTCCTCATCAGACACTCTCCTTGCGGGAGGTCCCACGGGATAATCTTTCTTTGCTTGCTGAGGAAGGGAAAGGCGCTGATCACATCAGTCGGTGGTAAGGCCGTCGCTGCCGTATGTTCTGCAGAAGACGGAGAAACGATTGTGAAAGCAGGCGTGGAGGCGTTCGGCACGATTCATATCTTGGTGGCCAATGCTGGGATCCTCAGGGATAAATCTTTCATGGGTATGGATGAGAAGATGTGGGATCAGGTCATTGCTGTGCATCTTAGGGGGACGTACAAGGTTGGTTATTATACTTTCCCCTCCCCCTCTCTCCTAATAACATTGCACTTTGCACAAGCTGAATGCTTTTGTCCATCATGTTTGAAGGTTTAGTCAAATCGCTTGCGCATTTCTTGACCCGCAAGGAGACCACTCATGACCTTCTGGTCGGCAACTCAAGGAACTATTTCAATGACAGTCTTCCCAATCATCGTCTATGTTTACTTCAACGTATAGAATGAACATTCCAAGCTAACACTCAGTGCGCCAAAGCCGTCTGGCCAATATTCCAAAAACAAAAGTATGGACGAATTATCACCACTGCTTCTCCCAACGGACTTTGTGAGCCCTTCTTCTCACTTCGCTTCTGTAATCATTAGCTGAATCTTGCTTCAGATGGTACTCCCGGCCAAGCCAACTATTCCACAGCTAAAGCGGCCATCATAGGCCTCACACGTACACTTGCCATAGAAGGTAGTAGAGCGGGCATCATGGTGAATTGCATAGCACCCAGAGCTGGGACGGCTATGACTGCGACTGTGTGGCCCAAGTAAGTTTCCCTGCGACTCTCTTGTCTCGCGCATTCCTACACCTCTTTCTTTGTTCTTGAACCATTTACTTTTTGAGCCCCTTCCATATGACTTATTCCACTCTTTCCCTATCACCCATTTTTACTTCATTTCGAATACACCTGTCATCTGCCTCTGTCAACAGCTCACTTCTTCCCACTTTCCGATACATGTGTACCACACATACTTTCGACTCGCTTGTCTCTGGTCACCCTCATTTTGCTCCATTAACACCATTTGCGTCTCTTCGGCACGACTCTTATTACTATCTTCGATCCAAATGCGGTCGAGGTCGTCTGGACTCGCGGTTCATGCCTCCAAAAGATGCTCGAAAGAACCGTACTGATGATTAGGGATTTGGTAGATGCTATGAAGCCAGAATTCATCGCTCCCGTGGTAGGATACCTCGCCTCTGACGCCTGCGACTTCTCCGGAACCCTGTACGAAGTGTTTGGGGGATTTGCTGCTCAATTGAGGTGGCAGAGGACGTATGGGTGCGCACAATCTACCACTTATCGCTTCACGTACCAAATTGCGTATCCTGTTCATGTCCCCTCTTTGGCCGCCTGTGAGAGTTCAAGTCGGCTAGGATTGTGTCTCGAGTGAAGGGCTGCTAACGCACAGTGTCACGTTCCCCAACGACCGTGAGATCAAGCCCGAGTCTATCATGGCCAGATGGAATGAGATCACTACTTTTGGTGAGTCTTTCCCCTTGTGATCTTTCTTACTCTCCACCTTTACCCCATTGAACGGGATCTGGTCAGACATTATTCTCGTTCTTCACTTGTGCCGCCCAAGCCGGAGCTCCGCTGATAGAGTAGATGATCGAGCTACTCATCCTACCTCCGCAGCTGAAGCCGTGGAACAGATCATGGATAATTTCTCAAATACCTCTAATGGTGGTTCTGAGGACGATTACGAAGATAACGAAGATACTCCAGAGATCAAGGCTGCGAAGAAGCAGCAAAATGAGCCTGAAGAATTCACATTCACAGAAAGGGATGTGATTTTGTACAATCTGGGGGTGGGCGCTACTGCGGAGGAACTCCAGTGGACTTATGAGAATTCTGATGGGTTTGCTGTGAGTGGTTGCGTCGTTGCCTCCCTCACAGCTCTAAATCTTTATCACCGCACATCTTCTATCCCACGAAATCTAGACTCTACAACTTCGATCCCGGTACGTGACCCCCAGGCTATGGCAGATTTTCCGACCTTCGTGCTATAGAGTATCTATCTACGTGGAGCGTCCTGTAGACAAGTACCTGGGTCAAACGCTCATTCCAGCCTCTCCCAACATTCGGAGTCATCCCTCAATTCGGCACATCCTCTTCCATGCCTATGGACTTCATCCCTAATTTCAATCCTGCCAAATTACTCCACGGCGAGCAATACCTCCGTCTCTTATCCCCGCTTCCGACCTCCGGGACCCTAATAAATAAAGTGCAGCTGATGGAGGTGCTCGATAAGGGTAAAGCTGCTTCCGTGACTGTTAAAGTAGACACGGTGGATAAAGCTACGGGAGAGAAGGTGTGTGAGAATCAGAGTACGGTGGTTTTGCGTGGTTCGGGTGGGTTTGGGGGAAAGAAGGAAGGACGTGGTGAGTTATTGACTCACATGGCGATCTCCCGTCTTTCTCCAAAGTCTCTCATCTCTCAACATCTCTTTGAAGCTCTGGTTCAATACTCAATACTTTCCATCCTTATCGCTCACTTTTGCCACTTCCTCATCGATCCTTTGGCCCAACCCATTCTCCAATTGGTGCTATGTTGTGTCACCTAACCGAGGTCATCCTATCCCTCAGTCTGTCGTCGTTACCGATGTTGTCCCCTCCTGACCGATTCTCACTACCTGACTGGCATTGCCTGTCCGTGAACTCGTCATTTTGGTGGACTTTCCGCAGGTCATACGAGTATATGCCCTCAAATCCCTTGTGCCGTAGAGGTCAACTGATCTATCAGACCGTGGACCAGCCAGTGCTTCGAACACTCCACCAAAACGCAAACCCGATGCGGTGATGGAGGAGAAGACAAACCCTCAACAAGCTGCTTTGTACCGTCTTTCTGGGGATTATAACCCACTTCATATCGACCCCGCGTTCGCTAGCATGGGAGGGTTTCCCAAGCCCAGTGAGTCATCCTTGTCCTGTCTTTCTCGCTTCTACCCCCACTTTCTCAGTATTCGACTCCAACGGATACTAGTACATCCAGAGGTTGAGAGTTTTGTGTTTGAACATATCTTCTCATTGTGGTTGTGTTTCATGAGCTAATCCCAGTCTTGCATGGTCTCTGCACAATGGGTATAGCCGGTAAACACGTTCTCAAAACCTTTGGCCCCTATGAAGATATCAAGGTCCGATTCGCGGGGACTGTCATACCCGGCGAGACTTTGATTACGGAGATGTGGAAAGAGGGAGACAAAGTTATTTTTGGTATGTCTCTCGGCCCGTCCTGCTCTTCCGTTTGTATTCAACACCATTCCTTCTTGGCGTCACCCCAATATCACATACGCCTCCGGTCAGCTGGTGTGAATATCGGTGACATCTTGGCCCAACTCTGTCCACCTGAAATGGACTAGGCAGCCGACTCTTTCAGCACTATATGTTTATTACCGTAGAGTGATCAATGAATTGCGGATAGTTGCTGACACACAGTGACTAAGGTCAAAGAACGAGACGCACCCGCGTTGAGCCATGCGGCCGTCACGTTGGTCTCGGCAGGGAAAGCAAAGCTTTGATGATGGTCACTGTATACATACTTGTTTGAGACAACCATGAGGGATATTACTGTACAGGTTAAGAACAAAGTGCATACATGTAAAAATGGTGTGTATTCACATGCAGTGACCACTGTCACACCTTTTTCTGTCTACTTCTTGTCCCGGTCCCGCCGCTCTTTGATTTTTTTAAACGAGCATTATATACATCAACGAGGAAACAACAGCTCACCGGTGTGCCCGAACTCGCTTCTCGATCACGGCAGGCTTGACACGGAGTGACGTAGGTTACGGTCGCATTTCCGTCCTTGTCACGTTCACTTTCGACAAACGAGTCCGACTCCCTGACACACTTTTTGTCGGTGTGGCTGCATCTTTGACATCTCATTGCTTTGAGGGGACGGAACCTTCTGACTTTCTCAGGGGATGCCGAACGAACTGCAGTCGTGGAGTCGTTGGATGAGTTTGACAATCTTGGTGGTTGCAAGTCATCCCCCCCACCTGCAGCAATCAGTGGTCCACCTGCGCTTTGGCTTGGCCTGTGTTGCCCATCAGCTGTATTTCGGGTACCTGAGAATTTAGATGGTCTGGCTGAGATTGAATGAGACAATGTCCTTTGGGGACCTGTGGAGGGAGTAATTGGTCTACCTCGGGTCCACTGTGCCCACATGTCCCCAGGCTGCTGTTGTTCAGACCCAAAACCTTGGAACAAAGGGTTGAATCCCGGAGGAGCAAAAGATGAGGATAAAGGAGTGTTATCAGCAGAATGATGGGTGTCTGTTTGTCTCATTCCGCGTACGGAGGCGGCAGACTCAAAAGTCATGGGGTGGTATGATGCTGATGCTGAAGCTGAAGCTGATTGAGGAGGTTGAAGGAATATAGGCCCCCCCGGGTGATAGTGAGACCTATGATATTGTAAATCAGAGATATGTGCACGGTCATCATTGACACTACCATTAGGTGCATTCATGAAGTGATTGTTATAATGAGCCATACCTCCGGAACTGGGGTCGAATATGAACGAATACGGAGAAGGGGCATTTGGCTGATGAGAAATGTGTGATGGATCACCTTGCTGAGGTCCACTTTGCCATTGACTACTTAGCAATTCGGGATTCTGAGGAGGATCGCCTTGATAGACCTGACCTGGTGGTCCAGACGCTGGTGGATTCTGTTCATCGTCATGAAATCCTTGCCAATTTGCCCCTTCCGGCATGAGTACTACGTACCTACGGCTTACACAACACGAGTAACGTGAAGAATGAAAAACTTTACCTGATCAGGAGAACTCGTTGTCAATTAGATGCTACTTGTTTCCTTATGAGCTGACAGATATGAAAGATGGAAGATGAAAGAATATGATTGAGAGGAGAAGAGGACTGATGATTCTCAGGGTTTTCTACCTGAAAGTGCCAGAGGAGATTCAAATTTGACCCCTCCTTTCTACCGTTTCATTGTCCGAGACATCAGATCTTGTCTCCCTACGGATACCAGGACCATCATACCCGCAAAATATCCGTCATCGTCCCCTTCGGTGGACGATCTGATGGGCATGTTCTGGCGAGAATAGGGAGCTTGGCCAACGTGAGGGATATGAGAAGAAAGATCTTCAAGCCAGGTCTCTGTCCATGCAACATTGATGATCAGGTGTTGAGACTCAGACTTTTGTCTCTGGAATGCAGGCCCAACTAATGAAGAGATGCTTGCTGCTTGTCCATGACCTGTAATACATCCTTAACCCTGTGGAACTCCAGAGTCATACTAACAAAGCAAGACCAGTGAGAAATGTACAATAGAGAAAGTCATCAGCAAAATCGGATTAAGCAGGCCGCTACACTCATATCCTGACACTATCAGGTTCTATAGCCAGAATTCATGGCTGAATGATGCATGGGTGGAAGGTGTGGCTCTCAAATAGCAACAAAGACATCCAGGCGTGTTGTGTTACAAGGTTTCATATGCACCCAACACTCATGTGGCTCTGGAGTACATAGAGATGTTCATGCTGACATTTACCTACAGTATGTACATAAAGAATGTATCTGGGAGCCCAGGGATTGGTGAAAAAGTATAGTAAGAGAAGATCATCCAGATAATCCTTGAAAAATGACTTCTATATACCTTGCTGGGCTTTGCCCTTACGTTCCTTGAGGTTCACCCGTCGATTCAGCCTGTCTGTCATGATATAGCACAAGGTCCCCTGTGATCTACATCTCCCACAAGGTAAATGATAAATTCTGGTTGTATGGCCAGTCTCCTCATTAGTTGTCACAATATCATCTGGATGGAAATGTACCAGACGACTTATCTCACACTCTGATCTCCCACACGGATCACACTTTTTGGGCTTATCGGGCTGCTTGATGCCAGCCGATGGTTTGAAAATTCGTGTTGAAGCTCCGGTCAGTGCTTCTGTGGCTGGAACAGAAGTATACTGCATATGATCTGCATCTAACGTTGCATGTTGTAGAGTCCTGAAGGCAGGTGCAGGAAGGAGTCTTCTAGCTGAGTCATGGATCTGTGGCCCCGCCATTGCGGTCGGTGTTATGAGTCCACTGCCATACCTGGCAGGATCACGCAATGACTGGGACTGAAAGGCCTGAGTGTTCTGCCCTCCCCAAACGTGGCTGGTAGGTGGCCCTGACTGAAATGATCCCATACCCGGAACCACACCTACTGGCTGAACATAGGAGCTCTGATCATCTGGTACCACATACTCATCAAAGTGGGGTGGAGAATATTCTGTTGCAAGTGTATCCATGTGAGAAGGTCCAGTGTGGCTGGAACCTGGAGCCATACAACCAATACTTTCACTCACAAGTGATGCTTGAAAATGCTGAGCATATGGTGGTTGTCAAAGTGTGTCACGAGACCAACTAACCAGTACTGGGACGATATAACAGTGCCCTTCAGAGACAGTGGCCTAAACCACTGTGCTAAAAAGCCTATTAACCGGCGGTCACTGCAAACCGCCGGTCGCTGGTTAAATACCCAACCCAAAGACAACTCTAACCAAACTGACTTGTCACTTTGTGACACAACACTGATTCTCAGAGGGTGGAGACACTGGGGATTATGCAAGGGGGAGGTCTGTTCATGCAGGAGGGGCCAGAGTAGACAGCTTAGTGATGGCATAATGAACTACATAGGATTCGGCGACATTTTGTGGATGATAAACGCGATAAATGATTGAAACGTATATGTTGAATAATCCTTGTTCGAGGACCCCGTGGGAACGAGTAGAGGGAGTATTCCTGTTCAATGCATGACTGTCACGGCCGTCGAACAACTTCTCTCTAACAGACCGACGGTCGATGAACCTCGGCTAACTTGACGCTTCAAAGTCGATGTCTCACCCAACCAGGAGGGCGCAGACCTCGAAAGGAGTGCCGCTACTTCGACGTAGTTACTCTAACTGGGGTTTTTCTCTGATGGCGATGTATCTTAATTTGTATGTAGCTATCTCTATCAATCTTTCACTACTGACAACAATCAAGGATCGCTGAAGAACTTCAGCGATCTTCTCAGCTAATATTATCTCCTCCTCCTAGATGTTCACCCAACCCTCTCGCGCTTAGACGTACTTCAACGCACTTCATCCAACTTCCCCGAGTCCCCGGCCGTCCTTCCCCTCCCTTCGACCAACTCCGCCTAATCGCCGCACTTCTGCTTCCATTGTCCCTACTCAGCCTAACTTCGTCTAACTTTGCCGTACTTCTGCTTCCTTTGTCCCCAGTCCCCCTAACTCCGCCTAACTTCGCCGTCGTTTTGCTCCAGACCCCCGTATACCTTATTCTCCCGCTGTACTTCGCCGTAGTTGGTCTCAGATGTCCTAAGTTACGTGTAGGGTGGAGAGGTTAAGACACAATAGGGGTTTTGATGGTCAAAGCAGGGTTATTGCTGGTGGAATAATTGAGGTGTCACGGCGTAGTTCGTGACAATGACATACTTGCATAACCACAAGTGACTGAAGTGTGCCTATTCAGAGTGTCATTTTAGAAATGGTACGTATCTGTGTATCATTGTAAGTCTTTCCTGCTTCAGCAAGACATAGGGATAGCATTCCAGTAGCAAGATTACTATCGCCGCCCAAAATTGAACTCGTTGATTCTAAAAGCACATTCCACACATGGGTTCTTGTCCATCCTCATTGAGCAGAGATTACATGGAGTGGCATATCTAACAGTGAGACTTCCAGCCATGTCAGGTCCACTGACCGTATCTCCGCATGTGAACTCCCTAAGCTGTGTCTTGTCACATTTCTTTGAGTTCCTCTTACATGTTTCACACATCAATGGCTTGAACGTACGACGACCCGGCTTTTTAGGCCGACTCAGTGAATAAGCCCTTGCGTCAGTCACTGCTGTGATGGGGCTGCTGTAAACTGGAGGAATGGTGGGGAGGAAGTCCATTGTCAGCCCTTGTGTGCTCCGGTTGTCAGGTGGACGACTTGTGTTGGTGGCAGGATGCAACCCATACCCGCCAGGGAACCCCGCTTGAGTGTATGTCTGCTGTTTGTACATTGAAAGTTGTTGTTGCTCTGAGAGAGCCATATGCTGCGGCAAGTACGGAGACTGCTGTTGAAGGGGCCTGTCAGTGGGATGAATGTACCCTGATGGAGGAGATATTGCATATGTGGAGTCCTGCGATTGGTATGTGAACGGAGAAGAGTGAGTTACATACCCAGGAGAATAATACTGTGGAGAATCTAATGGTGGTGCTCCTACACTAAAAGGCTGATTGCCGCTGGGCGGGTCAGACAAGGAGTTTGGTGCTCCCTGCTGGGTTGGCAACGTTCTATACCCACTAAGATCAAAGACTTGTCCATCTGGGTACTGATGAGGTTGCTGCATGTACCCATGCCCAGGAGCCCTGTCATGATAAAGATCATTATAGCCATATTGGCCCTGTGTATGAGTACTGTATGTTTGCTGATATTAGATGATAATACAGAGGGGAAAAAGAGCATGCATCAATTCTACATGTCTCTATACTTATCACATTCCACTCACACGCATAAAACCAGAGACGATCGAATAAAGTTCAGAGGATAAGTTGAACGGAGAAATATTCGACGGAAGGGGTAATTCTAACGGCGGTTCGGCCGTCCTGGCCCGATTCTATCGGCTAACACTCCCCCACGGGACAATGCACGACTCTGCAGTAGTCCCGGACGATTTATCGATGGCGACGGCGGGGTTTGTGATGATGTAGAAGGTAGTAATGACGAAATATTGAGTGTTATGTGTGTGGTAGTAGTGGTAGGTGAAATCGTGAAATGAATTTCTGTGGGGCCCCCTGCGGGGCTCCGCTCTGACACGTGGCTACCACTCACCGGTACCGACGACTGACTCTTCTCTATCTTTCCTTTTACTTCATCACTTTTATCTCCAATTATCGGTATGTCCATCTTTCGTCTTTCTCCACTTCTATCTCTCATTTCTGACTCTCTGAACTTCCCTTTATCCTGTCTGCTTCTTAAAACTTCAGGTTTGCTAGTAGGATCCCGAGAATCGATGAAATTGCTTCGTGTCCCTGGCTGACGATATTTCGCAGAACCGCTACCCACCGAGAAACTTTTATTTTCATTAACAATTTCATTATGTCTTCGCCACTTCCCGGTGGTATCGATCCCTTGGTTCCTCTCCTGAGGTCTGGTGAGGCTCATGGTACGCTCATTATTCACTTTATCATGAAAATTATCTCTGACCAGCTGAACTGTCGGATATCTCGGTCCGTACCTTGGAGGCGACCTGTCGACAGATCCGTTTCCTCCGAAGGTTGCTTGTCTCTCTCTCGAACGCTGGTCAAGGTGCATCTGCACCTTTCTTCGACATTCTTTACGATCTCGAAAGGGCCTGTCAGCATGTGGAGAATTTGTTGGGATACCAGATCGATGACAATTAGTGTCATGTATCCTCCCATCTTTTCTATCTTTTATCTTTTCTTTCTTTTCCTTATTTTTCTCTCTTAACTCTCTAATGACTCTAGGTTCTACCGGTGGCTTCTGACCTATCTTAGAATTACTCACATTCTTAGGTACACCTGAAAATTTTACATTTTGGCTCACGAGAACTTTTCCTTCGGTGGGTTTCTCTGAAGTTCCTTCCACCCACACTTCTCTCTCTGGTACCGACTCTGTCTGTGGTACCACTTCGTTCTCTGGTACCACTTCGTTCTCTGTACCACCTGATAGATCTCCTAGATCCTCGAAAT